TCAAACAACTATTAGTATCTGACTGTATCAAGAGAAGGGGGAGTAAACACTACTAAAAGTATTGTTGATTATTAAATAGATTTTCATGTAATTTTTTTTAAGGAAATGTTGTTTTATGTTACTGGCAAGAGACTCAATATATGAATCCACATTTGTGAAGGAGAAACAAGAAACCAATACCAGTAAATACATAAAAACAAACAAACAAATAAAACCAAACTTAAAACTTAAAAAAGACAAGCTCAGACAGCAGAAAGTCCCTGGTGAGAGATGTGACTTTGGATGATGAGACTTTGTAACGCAGTTTTAATTACACACCACACTACTGCAACACTGATTAATTCCAACGACAAATTGTACTAGTTGTGTTGACTCTCTCTCTCTCTCTGTGTCTGTCTGTATGTGTTTGTGTTTATGTAAGTGTGCTGGTACATTTGTAGGAGATGGAAGTGAGTGAGGATAGCAAGAGAGATAGACATTTGAAAATTATTGTTGAACTTTGTCACTATCATACTGCATCTTACACATTCTTTGAAGTATATATATATATATATACTGTGCCAGTATTATGAATAAATATATATGTGGCCAAGTTCTTCCAATATCAACTAGATTACATTCAGTAAAGACTCAAGAATCGATAGCAGTAATGTGATGATAAAAACTATTTTCCCAGTCAAATCACTGAACAACCTTTGATTTTAGTACTAGTGACACATTTTCCTGATACACACCTGTAGACCCATTCAAAGTCACTTCATGAGGTTTTTCAGTTGGGTGTAGCTAATTACAAATGGTGGAGAGTACTGAAGTACTTCTCCTAAGAATACCAAAGTTTTTGGGTACTTAGTCACTTTAGTATTTCCATTTTATACCAAGGCATTGCCTCATTCTACTCCACTGGGCTACATTTAGCGGGTAATAATGCACTGTTTACACCTCTACTCATATTTGTGTTCTTTAGTTAGACTAGTTTCCAAGTTCAGTTAAATATGTAACTAACCACTATTTTGTGTAAATCGGTTTTGAAGGATTGAAAACTAGAGAGAGGTTTAATGGCACTTAATGGACTGCTGAACTAAAACATCACAGTCTAGATACACTCACTAAATGCAGGAGCAGGGGTTATTCGTTCAGGTCTGTGGTCTGTGTTGTGCAACATTTTCTCATGGCGCATTAAGCTGTTTGTCCGCTAGGTGGCGCTAAAGGCTCAGACAGCAGGTGCGGTCGCGTGGTTTGACCAAAACGCGAGAGCCCTCTTCTTTGTGTTGTCTGTTCACTAAATGATGGATGATATAACAGCCTTAGTGTAGGTCTTATAATACATCCATGAGATGAACACATGACTGTAAAGCTGCGTAGGTTTAAACAAAGCCAACATGTCAGACAGACACCGGGCGCTGCCTCCATGGATGGCGAAGAAGGAGGAAGTGAAAAAAAAGGAGCCGCTGAAGAGCAGGAGAAGACGGAAAGTTGCGAGGTAATCGACGTAAATAACAAAATAGAGTCTGGTTTATGTGTTTTGGTCTGTTGACTCATTTGAAAAAATATGCACTGGTGTGTTTCCAGAGCTGCTTTCTACTGTATGAACGAGAAGGAGCTGGTAGAAGCTGCTGTGTCGTATCTTACCAACGGTGCCTGCGAGGATGTGGCTCTTCCCACGGACCAAAAGGTGGCGATGTTTTCTCTCTCTTTCTCTTTTTTTTTTTTTTTTTTTTAAAGCTGCTCAGTGTTTCCGTTTTGGGAAAAAAAACAAAAAAAAAAACTCCTTGTAGAGATATGAATATAAATATAACTTCCAAGACACCATGAACTCACACAAGTCAGGACCAGAGTATTGCATAGACATGTCCAAACAACAGAGAAAGTCCCAAACTGGAGAAGCTACTTGGGCATCATTTATAATAAGATCTTCTGACCATACAACAAAATTCATTAGTCACTGACCAAATAGTGCTGGAGAAGTCAGAATAAACACTAACTCAATGATCCATCTTGCTCTCTTTTCCAAGCTTTATAAACAAAGTCTGCAAACTTCAACACATCAAAATTTAAGAACCATTCCAGATTTTGATCATCCGTACACCAGAATATTTTTGTCAAGCCATTTCATAGAAAATTAACTCCCTTAAATTATTATAATTTGTACAAGAGAACATGGGACTTACTTTCCACGTCACACAGCTCCTGAGTGTTTCTGAATCTGAATCACCCCAACATTTATGGCCAGAGGAAGATAAAGATCTTTGGCATCATTTCTCTTCAAACCTCAGCAACAGCTATGAATGAAGTATAAAAATGAGGACATGCCAAAATTGTATCATATATGTGAAAATCAAATGTATTTGGATCACAGCTTTTTACTTATCCACAATACATTTTGTACATTGTACATATCTACCTGCACACAACCTCAATTTGTGCTGTACAGATAACTAACGTAAAAAAAAACAAAAAAAAAACAGTTTTGAATCATAATTCTCACCATCTTTTTTGCTGTACCATTGTCTAAAACTTGAGTGCTCGTCATGCCCACACAGGTTGAGTTTCAGGACAAGGAAGGAGACACCACTGTGAAGATCAGCGAGCAACCTGCATCTTCAAAAACAAAAGCAAAGCCAGTGACAGAAGAGGACTCCTCAGACTGTAGTGATGCCCAGGACGCGACATATGTTTCAGAAACAGACTTGGACATTACTGAGGTGGAAACAGTGCCATACACCGAGAGCCAGCGGCATCAGGGACCTGAGGGTCAGAGGTCGGGATCAGTTCAGAATCACAGTGGTCTCAAAAACATTGAACTGGTGGTTGAGAAAAGAGGAGAGTGCTCACAGCCACCAGCAGATACAGGGGATGATGATGCCTTACGGCTTGTGCGAGAAATCTTTTTCACCTGATGAAGACATTGAAAACAGCTGAGATGTGTTCACAATGAAGGAACAATGTTTTCTTATAAGGGAATGTTACTTGAATTACAATTTCCCAGTCAGTACTTGTGAATGCGCACCGCTCCTCCATCAAGCTACACATTGGAGCATTGATCCTTTAATCGATGGCACTGGGGTGTAAAATTTGGCACAGCTCAATAGAAAGTGGACGGAGAGACTGACGCTATTCACCAACACTTTTGCATCAAAATGAGGTGTAAATGCTGGTTGCTAACTCAGCCCGGACACTTTTGCTGTCCAGATAAATAATCGTGCTGATCCTTTGTGTTAAGCTGTGTGTATATAAGCCCAATATTTTCTGACGTTTCCATGAACAAAGTACTGAACACTTTACACTTAGTTGCTACTCATTTACTGAGCACAATACTGTAGCTTTACTCGGGGCCTCTTTGTATGAGGGCTTGCAAAAAGATCATTCAGGAATCAGTGTCAGTGAAGCAGCTCCAGTTTTTGTCTTGATGTCACCTCAGATTAAAGCTTTAATTCACACGGAACTGTAAAATCATAGAGTATGATATTCTTATACTTATATCTGTGTAAATTTACTGTGTGTTATACATAACATTATGTTCCAGTTTATTTTAAAAAATGATGGTAAACTGAAATACAGTTATCATAATATCTATCAGGTGTGTTTTTTTTTTTGTTTAATTTGTTTTTTTTGGTTTTCATCATCATTTGTCCCAAATGAAATGATATATTGAAAACATATCAAAAAATATGTAACAAAATAATTTATTTACAATTTAATTTACAAAAAACATAGTTTGGTTATACCTGCATCATGTACTTTGTCTTCATGATTCAAGTTTGCTTTCTGTTAACAAGGTGAGAATGACTTTTCCTTTCTCCTAATTTTCTTGCACACTAACAATCCCACACACCCGACTCAGTGGTAAAGTTGAGGGAGGGACAGTTCTATTTCCAGTCAGACATTAGCCTCCTCCGTGATACACAGGTCAGCACAGTTGTGATAACCAGCTCAACCTGCACACCCACACACATATAGAACCAGTGGGTCATGTCTTCCCAGCTTACATACGGCTGATTGAGTAGCAAAAAACCAGTAATACCAGCGAGGATGAGCAGGCTTGATGCAGCCTGGCAGGCCATGCTAAACCACAGTGCTGCTCTGTCTTTGGCGTAGGCTGCTAACAGCATGGCCAGCAGGGCAAAGGCCACCAGCACCACTGGAATGTATAAACCCAGGAAAACTACCATTCGGATTATGTTAATTTTTATCTCAGATTCAGCTCCCCAGACAGGCTTGCAGTGCAGTTCATATTCATGTCTGAGACAAATTCGAAAGGGACTGATGAGGACATCATTGGAGATGATGAATACACCAGCAAAGAACACCAGGGACATTAACACCTGAATGAAGATGAGTAGGAGAAACATGGAAATCCAAAAAGAGTGCCCTGTGGGACTCTTCACAGAGAGAGCAGCCATGACAGAAGCCCAGTGAGGCTGTTTGACCTCTGGCCTGTAGGTTGATATTCATATTGACAGAAATCAATACAAACAATCATTTGACAAACAAAAAACATTTAACTGACAAAATTGCCCATAAATTCAAGAGTTCTGCATGAACTTACCTCATTATCACCTGAATGATCTTCAAGAATGAGCTTTGAGTGGGATCCCTGTCAGCTTCTCAGCCTAACACGCCTGTGCTACAGCAGTAAATATGTCAGAGGTTTAATATTCAACTTTGAGTAGGTCAGCTGATCAACCTTAGGTTACTGGCACTTTGTATTTATATGAAACCAACATTTAGATCACTATCTTTGGTTAAAATACAATTATCAGTTCAAAATTATATAATGTTGATCATTTTTTAAACATAGTTTAGTGGTGATAATTTTGAAATGTGACACAGGTGTTAGCTGGTTAAACATAGGTTTAGTTGTTTACTTACGTTTGCGAGGCCACGATGTCAGTCTGGCTCGGGAAGTGCAGTGTTCTTCTGTGGAGTTGGTGCCGTGAACGCGCACGGTGCGCAGCAGCGTCTGCAGACTCACAGCTCCGTCTGTGCTGCGGCTGTTGCGCGCTTCAGCAGTCAGTTTGACGTGCGGACTTCTCCAAGTCGGTAGTGCGAGATCATCTGCTGCGTTTTCTACTTTTACTGCCACTCGAAAAGGTTCAGAAGGTTGGTTACACATTAGTTACGGTTATCTATTTTTCACTGCAAATTATTACCTGAGTTGTTTTTACCTCTCTACACTATGAATAGTTTTAACAGTTTGTTCAGCAGAGGGAGGGAGGCGGGGTCGTCAGCAAGAGTTTCTTTGTTCATTTTGCTTTGACCAGCAATTAGAAGCAATTAGCACACGGATAATTTTCGCGTTTTTAAAAAAAAGTTATAATTGGCATATTTATCATGGCATTATGTAAAAATAGTAACACGGTTAGAACTGCATGTGGATGTGCGGATCATGGTTCTGACAGACAGCTAACAAGGTGTGGTTGTTATACAGAATAAATAGAAAATGCAAATACAGGGAAAACATCAACTATAATCTTATTGTTTTGGGGGGCAAAAGTGTAAAGTGCACGTCTAAACATGTCCAGGATTTCTGGCTCATAGAAGTAAAACACAAACCTGTTAGGTGACCTGCTGTACAAAGCAAACAAGAAAGAAAGAATCAAACAAACTTTAAAGCTTTAAATTATCCCTGTGCACTCCAGAAACATTCACCCTACAGACACAGCTCATCTCCCAGCACTGTTTAGCACATGCTGTACATGCTGTCCGGGAGGGGTTCAAGGGAACATAATGTACCAAAACACACAAACTGGAATATGTTTGCTGCATCAGTTAATTAAAATAAACTTAAATACTTGATTTGACTTAAATAAAGTTTCTCTACTTTTTGTTGTTCATGTAACCTTGAGCAAGTGCATATTCATGAATTTGGAAGTAAAACATCAGCAACAACTTAACATACAATGCCTCCAACCACAGGAATTTTATGTAGGCTAATATTGAGCCAAATATTACATTACAGATTATCTTTTTACGAACACTTGAAGAACACAATATGATATTTAATTATTCAAAATAATGTTATTCTTATTTTGAACTTCACAACAGGTTGATCATGGGAAACAGGTTCAGCAGAAGGCGAGACACACCAGCCGGCAGTGGTGAAACTGCTGCCACTGAACAGAAGGCTGCAGAGGAGCCAGCAGCTCCTCAACCAGCAGAAGAGTCTGGGATAACAACGACCCAGGAGGCTGTTGAGACAGAGAATCTAGATGTGGTGGTGGGTGAGCCAGTGACACCAGTGGCCTGTTTACCCTCCGAAGAATGTGTATCAGAGTGTAAAGAGGTAGAGGCCCCTGCTGTCTCAGCCACACTAAATGATGCTGAACCAGAGCCCGTGGCAAAGGAAACCCCAGCTCCATCCCAACCTGAGCTTCTGGTATCAGTCAGTGAACCATCACCTCCAGAATCGGAACCTGTTGCAGAACCAAAACTAGTTGCTGAAGCTCAGCGCGCCCCAGAACCAGTCCCAGAAACTGTTCCTGAACCAGAGCCTACCTCAAATCCAGAAGCAGAAGCTGAGGCTGAAGCTGTACCTGAACCCATCTCAGAGGCAGAACCAGTCCTAACTGAGGCTCTGGAGCAGCATGCAGACATGCTTACCCAAGAGTCTCTCCCTGAGCCAGAGCTTTCTTCACCCCCTTTAATCGACCTGGGTGTCCCTGATGTCACTCCTCAACCTGTTAACACTTCTCCCTCCCCAGCTCCCATCTCTGACCCAGACAATGCAAACGAGCCCTCAGACATCCCAGTGACTGAGGAATGTGAAGGCAGCGCTGAGGCTGCTGAGAGTTCCACGTTTGAGCCGGAAAAGCCTGAGGAAACAACAGAATCTCTGGAAAAACCGATGGAGGTGGAGGCTGCAGAGAATTTGGAGCAGCTTGTAAGTGATGTCAATGAGGAAAGCATTAGCGGACTTCTACAGAATTTAGAGCTGAAAGGAAATGACCTTGTTGCTGACCTCATTCCCAGTGATGTCAAGATCCCTGATGACACTCCAATCACAGACATAAGCACGTCTACTGAGCTGATGTGAATCCACTGATGAGAATTCATGAAATAAGTGAATGGATATTTTTCTGTGAAACCTTCTTTACCTTTTACATGACTTGTGAAAGAATAACAGATACAATGTTTTTTTTTCCCCTCACTTGTGTGGCCGAACTGCTTTTTTTCCTCATTCAAAATGAACCAAATGTGCCAAATGGACTCTGGAACAAACTGCTGTCTTGACAGTTTTCACCCAAAACTAAATATTGATACATTCATGTTTTTTAATACTTATACAGCCATATTTTGTGTGTGGGTGATGAGTAAAGGAGCTTAAACAGGACAGGGGACATTAGTGTACTTCAGTGTATTGATGGACAGCAGAGATCTTCCTCTATGCAAATTCACCAAGCAAGAATTTAAATGTATTTCTCGTAGTGACTTTAAAAAAAAAAAGGTACCATTGCTATATCACAACCTGATAGAGAAAAAGACTATGGGGAGTATTTGGGGATATGGGGGCATTTTGATTTAGTGTAAAGGGAAAAGTAAGAACTTTTTAAAGTGGATAACTATAAGTTAGTGTAAAATGACAGGCAAGGGACAGTAGCAATGCAACCAAAGATTGAGACCATATATGCATATGATGATATAGAGGGATACAAGTATCCAATAGACATTTATGCTTTAACATACTCATGTTTGGACTTTGCAATAACAGGAGTGGTCATCTCCTTATTGTATTTTCAGTATAATAATGTGATTTTTTGAAATGGAAGTAGTGGCTTGCTTGTAAAAATAAAAATATTATTCCATGTGTGTCATGGTCATGTACCCTGTTTTTTTTTTTTACTTGAGTAAATATTGTTATTCTATGTTACAGATTTAAAGTATGGAAATGAGGAGAAACTAGAAGTTCAAGATAAGGGTGAGTTGGTGTGATACTTAACATTCATTATCTTTATGGCCACATGGCTCCAGATGAACAGTAGCTGTAAGCTCGTCCCATCATTTCAAATGTGGAATGTGACCTGGCTGGCCTTAAACAAGTGGTGCCGAGCAGGGATCTGTTAAATGAGCATATTGGAGCAATTGGGGCTTTTTCCATTATAGAGCACGTTCAACAACATGATAGTACATGTATGGGACACAGTGTACACATGGAAATCAAATTCCAGCCAACACAGCACAGATCATGTAAGAGAGACGGAGCCTTCTCACAGTCTCATGGGAGAGAGGACGAGAGAGGAGGGAGGAGGAGGGGGAGAGAGACGAGGCCACATTCTTTCCAGAGGAAGGAGGTTTTCGGGGGGCCTGGGTCAAAAGTCTTGAGCGTGACTGCTTTGCAGTCCATGAGAAATCTGCTCCTCACATGCCTCTCCCACCACACTCCCTCTGCCCTCACTGACTTGCTATCCCAACATTTTGACAAAGTAGTTAGTGGACTGGTATGAAAGGCAACTTCTGCCGGTCTAAAAATGAAACTTGAAACTAACCACTGACTTTGCCAATGTGACAGGAAGAGTACTTAACGATTCTGCAGTGTCATCAAGATGTAACGTGGAGCTGCTGACAATATAGAAAATATTTAATCTATACTAGAAGATCATTATGTCTTATCCAGTTCCATAATCCATAATCGTATGAAGTCCCACTTCCAATCCCATTTTCCCTTGTCAGTCACACCTAACTTTAAAAGACTACGCCTCAGAACATGGTAAACGGGTAAGTCCCATGGTTTTGGCAACACACCGATGAGTCCCCATGGAAAGGGAGAGGCACTCTTTAAACAGTGATCTCAGTCAAGCTTGCCTTTGGTAAAGCATACAGTTAGCTCCTTCTCGATGCACATCGAGAATAGATAAGCAGCACAATTTGCACTATTTGTGATTCCTGTCATACCAGAGGTTTTCAGCTCAATAAACAATGTTGATTTCCTGTCCTCTCTACAGATTCTGATGGCCAAAGCACAAAACCAAAGAAAACAGAACTTGGTATTTGCTACTGTGACAGTAGATGTCAAGGAAGTAACAAAAATATGATTTTTAAGGCTTTTTTTAAGGTTCCAAGCATAAGTGCAAGTATTTTTGTTTCATTTTTTGATCATTCTTCTATTTTAGCCCTAAAAGTATCTTCTTGATAAAAATAAAAGGCAAAAAAATGTATCAAACTCAAATGCAAATGAACTACACCTCTCACTTTATAGTACAGTATGCTCTGGTGTGTATGTGCTGAAGTGGACAACCCTTTTTCAAGGATTCCTTAGGTAAAATCACCTGACCATACTGTACCCATTTCTGCTGGAATATATTCTCAGATATTTTGACTATTTCAAACTTTTAGCTTTATTAGTATCTTTGAATATTAAGGCTCGATATCCTCAAAAGTTTTGTATAAAAAAGTCTAAAAAGGAGTTATATAGGATTGGTAGAATTTTTTTTCCAGAATGTTAAGTGCTGGGCCTTTTAACTGCCACAACCCATGAAAACATTGTGCAATTGCAATCAAATCTGGCAGACGCACACCACATGTGACAACACATTGGTCCTGCACAATGTCGGGTGATTCATCAAGCAGTGGTGCTACAGCAAAACAAGGACTTCACTAAAATGGCCTAGGCTCAAAGGATACACATCTAATTCACTCAGAATCTGGCACAATTCATCCTGACAAAAAGTCCCAGTGGTTTCTGATTTAGTCTCAATTAACACTTTATACTATTAACATACACATTATAAATAGTGTTCGCAGCCACATTTCAATCAGTTTCTGAAAGTCTGTTTGCATGAATCAAGTACAACAAGGTATTTCATAGGAGATACTGACAGATAAAGTTAAGAACTCAAAACCTGTTTTTGTTTTAATATATAACAAAAAGAAACAATTAACAATATCTGTCAAAACACTAACGACTGCTGCAGAAACTATTTTTTAAAACAGTGCAACAATATACAAAGTACTAAAAATCTAATAAATACTAAGAGTACAAGAACATGGAGTGTGTAGAGCTTTAAATAAATAATAAGTTTTGAAAAAGATAGAATGAAAGCATCTTAGATATTTCAAAGCTGTTGATTTCCAGCGGGACAATATTAATGGTCTGCCCAGGATCTCAGGACTAGGATTATGCACAGGCAACATCCTGGGTTTTCCCTCTCTGAGGACAAACATAAGAAGAGAAAGTAAGGCAGTTAATGTCAATACATTTTGACAGTTATCAACAACAACCTTATTTCAAGATTTTTTCAATTTTTACCATTAGCTGCCTGTATTTCTTTGCCAGGGCAACATTGGTACGTCCAGGTTGGAAGGGATATGACCACAAGATGGAGTTCCAAGAGAAGCCAAATGTCTTCACTCCGCTCAGTAGGTAGCGTACCTCCTCAAGGCTAAAGTCCTTCCTCTTCCTTCTCTAAGATTTATAATGAGAATGACAGAAAAGACTAAACTTTGAGTAAAGATTAGACAGTTTGTCAGACGGACAGGAGAGCATGAATTATGCAACAAGTCATGTGCAAGGATTTACATCATTAAGTATAATGCCTGTACCTCTTCTGTATAGTTTAGCCTTTCACAAGCTACCTGATTGCCAAATTGTGATTGTGCAGAGTAAAACTGTATGTGTTTCAACTGTTAATGCCTTCTCCACTGACACATGGCCTTGTTTCTAAAGCTCTGCTGAAATAGAATAATAAAATAGAAAATAAATGAAATTGGATGAAATGTGCATGTAAAACATCTGTCTTGCATTTAGTTATTCCAATTGAAAACAATCCACCCAGGCTGCCTGTGTTACTAATGTTATTAGATTCTACTGGTGGTTTTGCACATTTCACCCCATTAACTACAAATGGTATAAATTAGTCTCAACCGTCCTGCAAAGCATGTCCTACAGATTTTATTTGAAGTCCCACACTTCAGGAAGCATTTGGTCTCAACTTACTTCAATAAGCAATGAAACTCAACTGTCTGACACTTATGGCACACTGTGTAATCTCTATATGTGTCAAAGTTCCATTACAATTACATGATAGTAGAACTGCAGGGGTTGTTTTGAAAGTGTGTGTTAAGAATTAATATTATCATTTTCTGTTTCTACATAAATAAATAAATGCAGCCAGTTCTTTACTGTGCATTTCAATTTTCATATTATTCTGAAATTAAGAGAAACCTTTGCCTGGCATTGTACGTAGAGGAACTTAGTCTTGACTACTGCCTGTAAACTACACACATTTTGTAAATAATTGGTTAAACTTGCAATTAACAGATTCATTAAAAAAATCCACTATTAACATTACTTTGACCTTTTTTGACCTTATGACCCTTTACCCTAAGTAATGGATGCAAACTGCAGAAATGACCCATGCAGTGTATGAAAAATACAGCATCCTTGGTATTTTGTTTTTTTTTACAGTTTAGTAAAATACAGACAAAAATCTTTTTTTCCTTTGTGCAATAGGTTAGATTTGACTTTAAATCAATTTTGCATCTCAGTATTACTGTTTGCAGTGTGTAGGCACGGATATGACAAAGCAGTGTTGGAGTGAAAATTGATGCACTGCAGCATACAAGTCACATCAATAAAAAGCTGCTGGAAAACCTGGCAGGCCATATAAATATCAACACGTACATTTTTGACAGAAAACATTCTCTCAAACTCTTACAGTAGAGCAGTGATCTGTGCTAGTCCTCTGCTCATCATCAAGAACATGCTGTCCACCTTTATTCCCTCCTCTTCTCTCTGTAGCTGAAACATACAAAAGTCTGCATTTGTGTGTGTAAGTGTGAAAAAGAGGGGATCTGGTTTCACAACTAATTCTGTTACTCAACATCACATCACCTGACCTGACTTAATACACAAAGAGATAATGTCTCTTTTCACTCTTACCCAACTCCTCATTGGAGTGATATTTCATTGCCTTTAACGGCTAATACAGTTGACATACAAACAACAATACAGAAAGAGAAGAATGTGTGATGAATGAAGAACAGGCAAGACAAGAGAAGAAACAGGACAAAATTAAGATAGAAAGAAGTATATTATGGGAGGAGGAGAAAGATGGAAAAAACAGATGAACTGGACAGAGAAAGAATGAAAATGTGGACTGTGCAGTGGAAGAAAAACTATTTTAAGTGTGGACTCACAACTTGAGCATTGGAAAATGCATTTGGCTGAGTGGTATAAAGATACAATAAATCTCCTGCCTGACAGCACAGAAAAACTTTACTCAACACCAGCGCTTCTACATCCATATTGCAACACTATAGCAACTTTTTGGCAACAGAAAGTCTGACTGAGATCATGTGAATTGCCAACATTGGAAAATGGTAGGAGAAAAAGGACATGGATGGAAATACAACCACAAAATATATAAATACAGTATTTACTTTACAGTGTAGTGATAGTAATGCAAGTACAGAACATGCAAAATCATAAGGTGGAACACGTTAAAATTCCTCTCCATTCACTTTCAATGTAACTGACATAACACAACAGCATCGGAACACACCCTTTGAATCTTTCTTTTCTCTCTTTCACTCACTCGCTCACACACACACACACACACACACACACACACACACACACACACAAACACACACAGACACACACAGACACACACACACACACAGTGTTATACAGAGTGTGAAACAGCTTAATACAGCTGTGTTGCTCTGGCCTGCACTGTGAGAACACTGGCTGCAGTTCAACATTCCTTCTGCTCTTTGGTTTGTCTGCTGCCAAGAACACACTGCTGAGGACAGCTCCCACCACAGGCTCTCAATCATAACATTCACACATCACAATCTACTGTAAACACCCATATCTGCTATCACATGTTTACCTTCAGGAAGATGCTGCCTTTCTGGATATGACAAACATAAAGGACAACACTACATGCTGTTGTGATAATATCACATACATACCAGTTTTGTTATAGGAAGTGAATGTCTCCTTTTTAGCTCCTCTGTGCAGTGGAGTCAAAGTGATGCCTATGATTTGGGGAAGAAGACAACACCCAAATAACATACTTGAAGAATATTGTACATGTTACACCAAGCTTACATCTGAATAATATCAGGAAACTTGCAAGTACTCAAATCACATTTTTTTTAACTTTCAGGAATCTAAACAGACAGATAAACTGCTTTCTGCATTCGTGTTATGTCTTGATTTTGTTCCATAGTTTAGTTCTGTCAGACAGACTCGATCTGCATGGTTGAAACGACATTTTGTATGTCTTGTGCATTGATTTTTTTACTTTCATGCTATATTAAAAAAAAGATTATTTATTGTTGTTTGTTTAGATCTAGGTAGGCTCATCCCCCACAGTCTTTTGAGACACTTGTGTTAAGAACTATATAAAAATTAAGTTGCTTCTTACCATTGTGTTCCTTCGAGTGGTGTGCTGGCAGGGACCTCTTGCATTTCCCTTGTCCTTTTCTTATGGGAGTCAGGGAGACCTCTTTCACAGTGGAGAAGAAATCAGACATTTTATAGCAGTAGTTAAAGACAACAATGTGTGCTTTTTAATGAGGTTATTAAAATGACAGATATGAAGTAATGGTCAAGGAAAATAAACCTGATTGTTTCATAAAAACAGTTGGAACCACAGCTACACTCATGACGAATGCTTACTGTCTGACAGGTTCGCTCATGTATAATCAACTCCACACGGTTCTCATATATTCAGTGGTGATTAAAAGTTTTTACTTTCATCTTGACTTAGGTAGTGCATTAGACAGAGGTAGTGCAAGATAAAGATAAAATAAAGTGTAGGGGATGTTACTACTCCCAATATTTTATAAATACAACCTTTTAATGCTGTCAAGAAATGAAAGCATGCATTTAGCACAAGAACCATAATTCAGTGTATCTATGAAGAAGTATACATAGGGGGCAAAGTCTGAAATGTAACCCACACACATATTTTCCTGTCAAATGCAGTAATATTCAGCCCATGTTGCAGTAGCGGGTTAGCCAATGCTAGCCTTATAAGGTTATAGTGAGTGGGGTAAGAAAATGTAGAATTTGAACTGTCAAAATAAAACACACAGGTGCCTGGTGATTATGAGAGCCCACAAGGACATATTGACCATATCGGAGAGATCACATTGAGTTTTAACTGTGAGGAAAATTTGTGTCTATTCCAATATTTTACTTTGAGTATACATGATACAAAGCACGTTTAACCAATTTTAAATGATGACTGATGCAAAGTAAGACACTCATTATGAACTAGACTTGAAAAAAACTGATATGTGTTTAATAAAACATACAAAATGATAAGTCACAGAAGCTGTAGGACCTTGCAGTGATGAATCAAGTGACATCTTAATCAATACAGTAGATTCATTTTATTTTACTTGGTTATCTGTCCTTGTTTGGTGATGAAGTGGCTGTTTTAAATAATAAATCGATTGACCTAATTTGTAATGTGAGAAAAATCATCTACAATAAACTAAAATGTGAAGTACAAAACATCTAAAAGACTTCTACAAAATTTAGGAATGACTCCACAATTCTGTTGTGCTTTACGGGAACTATGAGTGCAGCTGGAATGTGCTCTTTGACCAATCAGATTGTGAGAGTGGAACTACACCATCGGCTGGAAGTGGTTTTACTGTGTAAATTCAAATGCTGAAGCCTCTTACCGCTCCAGTATTCTTTGCCTCTTTGTGGCTCTGTTGCTGACACTCTCTTAGAGTTCTGACTTGTCAGCTCAACAGTGTTGTCCTGGTCCTCTCTCCTAAGAAGGCTGCAGTGACGAGTTCTGAATTGCTCTGTGGCCGCCTGGAGAGCCTTGTGCATTTCACAGCTGTGAGGGCAGGAGCTTTGAAGGGATGCAAAGGTGCGGCTGGTCACTTTCTCAAAAGGCAACACACAGCCTGAAGGAGAGAGAGGAGATGTGAGGAATTAACATAAGATCCATTGCTGACTTCCTTCACATTGATCAGTTGAGCTCAGAAGTATGAATAGAATTATGATCCCAAGCTTCTCCAGTAAGCCTGGACATGTAAAGGACAATAAGAAACACATATTGTATTTAAAATGTCTGCACTTAGTTTGATATAATTCTGAAGATGGGTGTTGACAATTTGTCAAAATACAATGTAGTAAAGGCAAAATATCTGTTTAAACTCTCAACAGCTATTTCATAAAACAAGATGGAAAGCATTTTTCTGAGGTGTAGCTTCATGTTCTCTTACCTGCACACCGGGGATGAGCAAGTGATTGTTCCTTGGCTGTGATTTTCACGACCATATTCATCTCCTGGTCCAGTAACTCTAAACATAAAAACATAGTACTTGAAAAACCATGGTATAACCACACATCTACAGAAAGCTAAATTAAAGCAAAGAAATTAGTTATTATGACAGCATGTTTAAGACATGAAGCAGAGCTCTTACCTTCTTCATCAGTACATTTAATTTCTTTTGGTACGCTGTGCCTCACTGGTGCTGGAGGCTTAAACAACTGTCTAAACCAAAAAACAAAAACAGAAGAAAAAGTAATTATGAAAGACACCATTTCATTGAATTTTTCTGATACAGAACAACTAATGCTCCTAACCTGTTTGCTGTATGTGGCTCTCTGCCTCCCTCTAGTGACCGTACATGAAAAGATATTAGGGATCTGGAGCCCTTGCATACTGAACAACACTCAGGCTTTCCGCTGTTTTCAGCCATGTTCTTCAGTTCACTGTCATCTTCCTTCATGATCACCTTTCTAATAGTTTGGAGTTTAATGCTGTTCTCACACTCGGCTTCTATATGCCTGTGAGTGCTAGTTTGTCTATATGCTGTGGGGATGGTTTTAAAGCTCTTCTTATGCTGCAGAGGTAGAGTTAAGTAAGGAGACAGAGATGGTAAAACTAGTCCTTCAGCTGAAGTTGATAAGTCTTTATCTTCCTGGTCCTCCTCAGCCTCCTAAAGATGAACATTAACACACATTACATGCATGCATACTGTACATGCTGATTAAACTGCAGTAATGTGGGTGAATGCATGTTTAACCTTTGCCTGTTTCTTTTCTAGCAGGTCAATCCTGTGCAGCAACTCCCTGGCTGAGCTCCTGAAGCTTTCCATGTTTGTAAGGGACTCAGTGATTTCATCTTCCCCGTGTCTTGCTGTCAGATCAGGCACTCCAAAGGTCATGGCTTCACAGGCAAAGACAAACAAGTTAAACTCCCTATTCTGTATTCAACCCACAAATGATTAAATCTTTCATTCTCTCTGTTCATTTGATCTAACTTTCACTCTCAGAAAAGTAGAGGAAATCTACTGACCTTATTAAAACACAACAGAGTTAAGTGAAGGGAATATAGACACTGTTCTAACACACATATTCCACACAAACAGGGTTAGAGAAGAAATGAACCCTGGTCACTGCCTCAACTTCACTTCATCGATCCACCCTGAACCCAGAGTTCCATTTAATGCTTTCAACAGTATCTGTAATTTATCCGTAATAAGCAAGAGTTAGAAAGCTCATTTAAATTATTTAATGTTTCAAAAGTTAAATTCAATCCGGCTGACAATCCTTGTAAATGGGGGGAGGGAGAAAAAGTTTGTATGGCAATGGTTCAAATTATGAGCCTGTATTAACTAACAGCGCTAATTAACAATATCACCTTGAATCTATAATAATTACAATATGTCTTTAAAGTTAGCCAATGTAACAATTTAACCTCACTTGCCTCAGTATTGTTTTTTACCAGCAGATATCACTGAAGCTGTGTTTACTGTAGCTTTGTTTGAAATGATCAAGTGATACAGTTTGGGATTTTTCAGTGGGATTTAGAGTCTAGTATGAATTTTCTTCCATCACAGTGGCCAACCGTTGTATAAAGTGCTGCAGGAAACCCAGCAACCCACCTTTAAGTGCATGGCTATGGTAAATTCAAAGGTCTATGCCCTTCAGTTTAGAGTCCCATCTTAAATGATAAAACTACAATCATTGTAACATAGCTGCATTATGATACAAACAAAATTGCCTTGACTTACTAGCCTGTTTGCAGGTCTGCAATATGAATGTCGCAGTCTTCCTAACCTCTTCACTTGTGTCCTCTGCAAGTAAAGTTATGATAAGGGGCAGTCCTCCACACTGCACCAACTGGGACTGGTGCTCCTCTAGAGACAGGAAGAAACACAGTTGTGATAAATATTTGGGTAGCATAAATGAGAAAATCAAGTCATGTTGTACTCTTAAGGGACGGAAGACTGTTGAAGACTGTAGCAGTGGGTAACAGTTTCTAAAATGTTTAAAATATGAAGTGGAAACATACTCCAACACTACCAGAAAATATTAGACTGAAAAAGCAGACTATAGTGCAGTCTCACCAGAGGCCTCAGTGCAGTGGCCCAGGGTAAGTAAAACTGAGAGCCTGTCCTCATGGTCCAGGTATGGGCTTGCCAGCAGGGAGAAGAGATGGGAAACTATGCCATACTGAGCCAGACCTGAAGCCAGAGCAGCTAAAGAGAGTAGATTGTCAGTGGAGAAGGAAATAATGTGGTTGTTTGCGTTAACTCTTACTGAGCATGTGTTCGTGTGAGAGAGCAATACGCACAGTTATCAGTAACACAAGCTGACAGGGTCTTGGATATAGTGACAGAAAGTTGGTAAGACGACAAGCTCACATCTGCCATAGACGCAAGACGAACCAGTGAAAGAGTGAGAGTTTCCAAACCCCCTGAGGCAGAAAAACTCTCCTGAACACAGGCTGCAGAATCAAACAAGTGACATTTTAAGCAATTTAACCGTTTGGATTTTAGTTTCAATTTAGATGTCTTACCTAAACATAAAAAATCAAAGGTTTCACTTACAGTTGTTGGAAACTGTCATTGATATGAAGGAACATATTGATTGAAAAATCTCTATGCGTTGGAGAGCAATCTGCTGAAGCCAGATTTTTATGATGGCAAAAGCTGCCACACAAATATGCTGACCCTCTTCTGCAAGACAAAAAGAGCAATAACTGGTTTTGTTCTTACTCAATAGATACTCCAAAATGCAGTATCCTATGGTTCAACTTTAATGTAGAGGCCAGGATGAAAAGGGCATCAATGTTTTACATATTAAGCTGCTATGTACAAGGCACAAATAGACAGATGACATTACCATTCTGAGGATTGTTGACACATCCACAGAGAGCATTAGACACAGATGTCCAGAGTTGGTAGGTATGCGTAGCATTAGCTACAACTGAAGTAGCATCTGTAGAAAGGGGGAAAGTGGTCCTGCAAAAAAAAAAAAAAAAAAATTTATATTACTATATATATATATATTATATAGTATATATATATACACACACACACACACAGACTTAAAAATATGTATCTAACTAAAAACTACATATTATATATAATATATAAAAATGTGTATGTAGGTGATTATTTGAGTTGGTTTATTATCATAAAATCCTCAGAATACCTATGTGAGACTGATAGCTAGGTACATCATTGAAGAGTACCTGAAGAGGTCCAGTAGAATATCCAGGCAGCCAGTGGTTTGGGCTAAAGTCTGTCCTAATTCTGCAATAGCACAGACACAAGGGCACATAAATTAGACAGCCAATCCAGCAGCTGTAATTCTTTATGTCAGCTAAGGTGCCTTGATCTTACTGTTGTTGGCTACCAACACAGACAGCAAATAGACAGACACTCTCTTCTGTGTCAGTGGGATGTCATCTTTCATCAATGAACCAGCAAGGTCTGCAAATGTCTCCTTTCTGCACAGAGAATTCTTGCAATACACTGCCAGAAAGAAGATAAATAGTATGTTACCAGTCCGTAAAACTTGCATTTGAAAATACCACATTACACAGGCTTGTTATAGACTTCTCAAATAAATTACACACATGCTGCATCTCAATTCAGTGCCCACATTGCAAATCTGAATATGTCTTAACAGGGTATTAAAGCTGTCTTGCGTGTCCTTTGAAGTTTTAAGTATCCCACAATCTATAGATAAATGGAAAGGATTAACATAAACAAAGGGGGTACAGAGTTTGCAATTACTGTCTTATTTATTCCAGCATCCAATGTCTTTACTGTGCCACTTTGTCAGCTATTTAAGAGCAATTATCTGCCTGTAAACCAATTTTCATCTTTACAAGTTGACAAAGTCAAAGTCCCTGTACAGCTGGACTGTTTCATTTGGGAAGAATGTGTACATTCATCATAGGTTTCAAACGCTGCAAAGGACATGATTTCTTGGACTACATCCTTCACAAGTTACACCCCTGAATTGAGATTCTGCCACTATCACAGACATGCTTACCATTGGCCTCTACCAGTGTACCAAGCGTAAAGAGTGCAGCCTCCTTAACATCTGAATGAACAATACTGGATTTGGAGAGGTTATACACAAATGCCACGCCTCCCATTTCTCTCAGCAGGTCCACATTATCCTCTGAAATAATGAAAATTTTAAATTGAACATACAGTTGAAAGGTATCATGTCAAAATGTTATGCTGATTGTGTAAATGCATCATTGACTTCAATGATTACTTCCCAAACAACAAATCTGAGTGACTGATTGTAGACCGGTTTGTAGATGGTTAGTGTGTGTGTATATATAATGGTCAAGGCAAGGTATGTGTCTATCATAAATAGTTCACTATTACCTCTCTTTTCACAAATTGAGTGAATGGTGAGAAGAGCTTGTTTCTGTAAATCAGGACATTTCATCTGAAATTTCAGACACTCAAGCAGCAAGCTGAGATCTGTCTTTATGGCTGAAAGCAGTGATGAAATAAGTGAGGCCTTGTTAATCAACAGACAGACATGCATTTGTAAATGTACTACATAATGTTACATTATCTACAGCCATATACAAATACTTAAACAAAATGTGCATAGGTAGAGTTAGCAACAACGTCACTTACTGTTAAGGTTCTTGTTGCAAGTCCCTGTCTTATCCATTTCACTCTTTTTCCCTCTGTGGTTTCAAAGCCATTAGCAAAGATTAAATGTCACTCAAGTAACAGTGTGGCTAACTTAATAGTATAAGAATATAATCTCTTGTTCCTCTACTCAGTACTATTTTTTAATTAGCTGCCTAGCTAACCTAGCTAAAATATCAAGCTAATGTTTACTTTGGCGTAACCTGCCACTCTTTCAGAGTACAGTGTTTTCTCAAGCAAATGCCCAAACTTTTGCTGTATCGGTAGCTAACCCTCAATTCTAACTGAACAAAGTATGTTAGAGTGACCAAATATCAATTTCAGCCAACGTTAACGTCTGCGTTTGTCTTCCAGGAATCACTGTTGGTGACGGATCATCGCCACTTTACGTTACCATAGAAACAAACACGGTGTACCCAATCTTGTGTAGATTTAGATGCAAAAGCGCAACAATTGTCAATATTGCCAATATTCCCCAAATTTCTAGCTAACAAACAGACAAACAAATATTCTTTTTAATTCTTAAGTTATGAGTTGGACCATTGAATATTACAGAGTCAAAGATCGTCTATTTAGATTGCTCCTACAATCTTTTTTCCCCTCCGAAATGCGACCAGCGAATACTACAACAGCGCATCTGTTGGCGTTGTCAACGTTATAACGTCAGACGTTGTCGCGCATGTCGACGTTACGTATGGAGTTGATGTTTGACGGTCGACATTGATTCATTCGTAAATTTACTAAGTACGTATGAGTTTGATTAATTATTTGTTTATTCGGTGAATTAAACATACGCACCAAATCAATCTGTGAGTAGCAGTTTACCTCAAATACTGGTTTTGGTATAGCGGAAGTACCTAATATGTGAAACGTTAACGGAGCTAGCCAGCTAGCAAGCTAACTTTACATTCTATGTGTAGTCAACTTAGCGCTATATAAATAGGTTGCACCTATTGACAACACGGAAATTTCATAAGAAGAGGTATGCTGTTTGGTATTGGTGTAACGTTATAGCACAGTAGTTATGGTGTTAATTTGAAGCTGGCGAACACAACATCTAGCTTGCTATCTAATTACGCCAGTTCCTTAATTGTCAGGTGTTTTCACAGGAATCGCGCTGGTATGATCGTAACTTTATTCATTCCTTTTACCGTTGACATAGAATCGGGGTGATTAAGCTGCACAACTCCCTACCGACAGCGTTGCATTAGACATGTCTGGGCGTGTGTACGCCAGCATCCTCCAAAGAGCTTCAAGCTACACATTGACACTTTCTTCCAGTACCCCATTCCAGGTTTGCATCCTGACTGACCTCTTGGTTAACTCAGGCTATTATATTTTTATATTCAGCTTTATTTACATTGTAGCATATTGTAATGTTGTCATCCCTCTTGTTTTTCATTCAGTATGCCCACCTTGTAGTGTTTCCCTCTTCTCAGCCTCGACCAGCCAACATTTGTCACTTCTCATCCTGGGGTACCTTCAGATCAGACCACTTGTGCTCCAGAAGTGACGAGTCAGGAAATTGGTCTCAAAGAGGGCGACATCTGTCAACTCGTCAGGATCTAGACTTCCAGCTCAGCCGGGTCCAAATCAACAGTATTCTGCGATCTAATGAACAGGTAATAGCATAGTGTCTCTTCTCAGGATGAGGAAGAAAATGACACTCTAAAAATACATGTTGGATATCAAACCCTACAGTATGTAAGCACGTAAATGCGGTAGGAGCAGGGTGAAAAAGCTTGTTGTTTCTACACATTTATAAGTTTACATGTATAACAACTAATCCTGTAATATTTGTTTCAGATTGTGAGTGTGCCAGAGTTTGATGGCAGGGGACTGAGTGGTGTGAGAAAATTTGAGAGTAACCAGTTAGCTGCTAACACACCTAATGAGGACCGTCGCAGTGCAGCCACCTGCCTACAGGTATGCATTTTCTCTGCTCTTTCTGTACATCCATTTCCCTACTTTTCTCCCTTTTTTTGGTAAAATTTAATTCAGTTTTCTCTTATCTTTTCTAGACAAAGGGCATGCTCTTTGGAGTGTTTGATGGCCATGGGGGTTGGGCATGTGCCCAGGCTGTCAGTGAGCGACTGCTGTATTACATAGCTACTGCAATGATGCCAAAGCAAAGCCTGGAAGAGCTTGAGAAGTGCATGGAGCATGGCAGACCTGTTCCTCCCATCTTGAAGTGGTACAAACACCATGCAGACTTCAACTATCGCGAATCTGCTTCACTCTACATTGACCACCTCAGAGTTTTCTGGCAGGAATTACTAGACAGTGAGGAACATGGTGAAGGCATGATGTAAGTATGCCTGAATGTCCATATACATATATCTACATGGTGTTGCTTTTTTTCTTTTACATACTGTACCTCCATCATCTGCCTTTTCTTTTAGCCCTCTGGATGCTCTGGAATGTGCTTTCAAACGGCTCGACGCTGACATCTCCTTGGAGGCTCAAGTCCCTCTTTCCAATGACCTGATGAAAAGCACAGCCATCCAGGTAATAAGATAAACCTTCCTTTCCTACTTCAGTGTGTTCAAGGTTACACAATGTCGATAAACATACATCATCATTTGTTTAGGTGGCGTTCGCTGGTTGCACTGCCTGCGTGGCTCATATTGGCACGGACGGGATCCATGTGGCGAATACCGGTGACTGCCGAGCAGTATTGGGAGTGCGAGAGGAGGATGGTTCATGGAGTGCTTTACCTCTATCCCAGGACCATAACTCACAGAACCAGGCTGAAGTGGAGCGAATCAAAGCCCAGCACCCACCCTCAGAGAGAGACACAGTGGTCACAGATGACAGACTGCTCGGGGTGAGAAGTTTTCGACTTAGCAGGCACTGTACAATGAGTTGTCAGTTACGTTTTACCAAAAAAGTCACTAAACTTTTATTGTGCTGTCAGGTTCTGATGCCCCTGCGTGCGTTTGGTGACGTGAGATTCAAGTGGAGCTGTGAGTTGCAGCAGAGCATTTTAGCCGGCCTGGAATCTGGAGTGGATCTCGACTCTCTCAACTTGTACCAGTACACTCCACCTAACTACCTAACTCCACCCTACCTAGATGTGACGCCCGAGATAACGTATCACAGGCTCAGACCTCAGGACCACTTCCTGATCCTCGGCACTGACGGGCTGTGGGATGAACTAAGTAGTGACGAGGCTGTACGACTGGTTGGAGAGCACCTGAGCGGGATTCACCTGCAGGTTTGTGTGCAGTGAAAGTGACGTGTTGTTCTTCCCCTGATTCACAGCACACTACTTTTATATAAACCACGACTGAAATTTTCTCGTGTTTTTATTCTGTAAACTGATCTTGTAAAAAAATGCTTTCACAATGTTCTCCCTGTTTCTCAGGCTCCAGTTTCTCCATCTGAGAGGCAACTGAAATTGGGTCAAATGCATGAACTCTTACTGAAACGTCAGGCCCGTGCCTCTCCTCCCCTTGACACCAACGGTGCCACCCACCTCATCAGACATGCACTGGGCACAGGGGAGTATGGAGAACTATGCCAGGAGAGACTGGCCTCTATGCTCGCTCTGCCAGAGGACCTGGCTCGAATGTACAGGGACGATATCACTGCTACTGTGGTGTATCTGAACGCTGACCTGGCCAGACCTCACCACAGGTAACAGAACGGTTTTTTTATACAGAGCTGGACAATGATAGCAATTTGGGAGACAAAAGGTAATCATTAAAACCTGTTACATAAATTGATTTCCAAATATTTTAAAATGAGGGATGGTTTTCAGCGCTGTATTGTATTCAGATACTTTTTCTGAAATCACTATTCCATAGATTTAACTTAGGGTTACATACTCCTATTTGCAGCATCAGGTCAAAATACACATTTCTGTGCAGAAAAAAACATTTAGTCCTTCAGTGTATTCATGCTGGACATTTTAAATACACCTAAGTTGTAAGTCAAAAGTGGAAATGTTGAGAGAAAATACAAGGCTGCAGAATAATGCACACACTCACTTTGTTCCTTGTCTGTGTATTTGTGTCTCTCTGTCTTGCAGTTTGTTTTAGACAGTCCATCTTGATTTCTTTCCTGTTTACCTCTACGTAAGCTGTGAAGTATATTTTTAATTGGTGGGATTGCTGTGAAAGCAACCCCACTATATGTTCTTCTCGTCTCCTATTTTGTTTGTTTTTCTTCTGCTCACTTTTTTGGCACCTAACTAGAGTTTACAGATAGACAGAAAATGTTGAATTATCTTAATAAATTTGATTTGGTTAATAATTGTTGTCTTTCTTGATAATGCACTAATTTACTGTATGATTTTGATGTTTTTTTGCTTATTTTTCTAACTGTCTTGTAAGGTGTCCTTTAGTGCTTTGAAAGGCAACCATAAATAAAATACATTATTATTATGTGCAGTCAGGCTATCTACAGTATAGATTAACAATAGCCCATAGAGTGGTAGCACAGTAGGCTGGTTATCTAAAAATCTATATGATCTACTAAGTAATTATTTAATGAATTGACTGATATTATCAACTAGGAATTAAAAATATATATATTCAGACAACATGACCAGCAGAAGAGAGTTTGCATAGGCCTCTGCAAAATGAAAACCAGACGGGTGGTTCTGGCATATGCATGCAGAGGTATAAGAGATGTTGGGATGATATCTATGAATACAGCCTGCAGTTGTTTGTTTAAGTCGCAGTGAGAGCGGATAGATGTTGCTGAAACATCGAGCGGCGATGTCTCTGGGACTTTGGGGCAAAGTGAGCAAACAATCAAAATACTCTTCCCAACACATTCAGTTTAAATCACCAATACATCACAGCAATTAATATGTGCTTACTGGGTATACATTTTCATGGTTGTTTGAACTTATAAATTAGTGGAAAAATATCTTCTCAGTTTTTTAATGTTTATTAAACAAGTAGTCACTTTCCTGTCCAGTGAAATGGAAAAAAACTCAAAATAACAAAAAGGAAGTTATGCTGAACACAAAATGTTTTGCTATCTCAACATAAACTTTTTTCACTGCTTCCGTTACAGTTTCCTTTTTCCTTTTTTTTTTTTCCATCTCTTAATACTATTTCAGCTGCTTCTTCATACAAATTCAAGCCAGCAACACAGTTTAGCTTCAGTTTGTGCAGAAGCCACCAATCCCACATTTTCAAGTTTTGTATAAATGTACTGTCTTTAATGTGGTTGTCAGAGTTGACACTCCACTCACTAATCACAGAGACATTTGGATTTAAAAATGATGAAATAAAAAAGGCCAACTTACATTTTGAACAATGCAGAGAATGTGATGTCTAAAGATGTGTGGGAAACAGAGTTTTCAAAATAAACTGCTAATGTATTCGTTGCAGAGCGTCATGGGAGACAACCTGATCCTCAAGTGTTTTGTAAACATGTGCATGATGTCCTCGGAGAAAAAGTTCAGCCCCAGTGGTCCCATTATCCTGCCAACAAAATCAAAGTGAGGGGATATATTTTAATACATGTCGTTAGTAATGCACATTTTTCTGCAGTTCCTCATTTCAAGGTCCTTATTTATAATTTTAGAGGTTATAAATCCATGTTGCAGAAACATCATTTTTTTAAAAGCCCAGAGTGGAAAGCGTTACCTGCATAAACACAGACACCTGCATGTCTGAAGGTGCCTGAGGTCACCTTTAGCTTCCTTGTTTTTCACCCACCCCTCACTGATAAAATCAAACAACTACTCAGCATCAGTGGGAGCAAAATAGAGTAAACACGCTTACTGTTGCCACAGGCAGTTTAAAGATTGAATGCTTAAAATGAATGAAGAAATGATTAATTATACTGACTGAGGAACTCTGAAGGTGAAAACCTCTCAAAAAGGAGAGTTAGTAAAACAAAAAAAAACTTGGCAGTCTGCCACTGGAGCAAAGCAGCAGATCCAGTCCAGAGGACGGTTGAAGGCAGATTTGTCGGGTCTCTATACTGAAGGAGATGATGAACAGCTCGACTTTGAGGGTGCTCTTTTTACTCTGCCAAGTCCAGGTGAGTGTTAGACACAGCAGTAATAAGGTCAGTTTTGTGGCGACTGTCCTATGACTTTTAAAATCCTCATACATTCAGAAAATTGGAGACGTTTATTGTTCAGCCCAACTGTATATTATTATTTTTTCAATGTTAATTTATTTCACAAGAGTTTTTCACAAGATATAGAGGTATATATTTTTGTCTTAATTTAATGAAGAAAATGTTTTTTGTGGTTTCTGAATGGCTCTTCTTGTGTTCTTTTCAGAAAAGCAAAACATGTCTATTTTGTATAATTCATTTGTATATGTGTGTGTGTATGTGTGTGTGAGAGAGAGTTCATTATTATCTAATACTTGAATCTTGAATATAAAACAATTAAGCCTTCCCACACCTGAAAAGTATTGGACCCCCATTACACGATTATCAGTATTATTGTAAAAAAAAAAAAAAATACAGTATGTTCAGTTTGTCATTGGATATTGTCTGTTCCTCAGTGTTTAGCTGCTCTGGCTGCGACAGGGATCCAACCACACTATCCAAACAATAGAAACTGCTCTCATAGTGGAAACCCAGAAAACAAGAATCTTGAGGTAAATTTTCCAGTATTTTTTTGTAATCTTAAAATAGTTTTATTAGATTACAAGTAAATATTTGATTTGAGATCCTGGTTCCTGCCTCCTGATTCAAACAGAACATCTCTGATATGGACCTGCAGCAACTCTCCACCATTCAGTTTCCACACGTGACTGGCAGTTTGAAACGCATGAAGAGGGAGTGGGTTATTCCAGCAATTAACTTTCCAGAAAATGACAGGGGTCCATATCCCAAATTTATGGTGAAGGTAAATACAGCAGCAATAAATGAATTAAATAGTTTTGATGCATTTACATTAAATGTACTAAGCCTTGTTGACTGAAATGTCTTTACTGTTGTGCTTTAGATTAAGTCAAGCAATCAGGAAAAGGTGGCGATAACCTACAAGATCTCTGGACCAGGGGCTGATCAGCCCCCTGAGGGTGTGTTTACTGTTGATCGGCGATCTGGGGTGCTGTATGTGACACAGCCACTGGACAGGGAGAAGACAGCCAAATACACTGTGAGCTAAAACAAAGCATAACCTCAATCTAAACTACGGTATGTCTTAATCCTTACGCACAAGTACTGTTAATAAATATTATACTACATGTGCTGTGTGTTACAGCTGTTGGCCCATGCACTGAATGAGGGAATTAAGGCTGAGGAGCCAATGGCACTCATTATTAATGTCATTGACCAGAATGACAATGCTCCACAGTTCACTCAGAACTCTTTCTATGGCAGAGTGAGCGAAAGTGCTGAAGTTGGTGAGAAAACAATAAAAGCTGGAGTCCTCTAAACTTGACTTGACTTCCAAAAATGTGAATCTCACACTTTTGTATTGTTGTCAACAGATGACTCTGTCATCAGGGTAACAGCGGTGGATAAAGATGACGCACAAACAAACAATGCAATAATCAGGTATCGGATAAAGTCTCAGATGCCTCAAATGCCCAAAGGAGACATGTTCGCCATAAACCCAGTGAGTGGAACTATCAGTGTGGCAGCAGGTGGACTGGACAGAGAGGTAAAGGAGTCATACAGTGTGAACGCCACTCTCCTCTTTCCAAGACTTTCTCATGTCTCATTTCCATTGCTATTCACTTCCCTGTTAAGACTCAGCCAGAGTACCAGCTGATGATTGAAGCTGCTGACATGGAGGGGGATGGGCTAAAGGCCACCTGCACCGTTATCATTAGCATCACTGACAGCAACGATAATGCTCCACAATTCACCGTCACATCTGTGAGTTGAAAAAGTCCAAATACTTCATAATGATGTTTAAATAAGTTTGATCATGAGCTACATTTAGCATGTTTGTCTCGCTCTCTCCCAGATATCCACATCGGCCCCTGAGAATGAGGCTGGAGTGGAGGTAGTAAGGCTGGAGGTCACTGACAAGGACGAGTTAGGATCTCCAAATGCCAACACTAAATATTCAATAATCAAAGGCAACAAGGGGGGAGACTTCAACGTCACCACAGGCTCCAGTAAAATGGAGGGAATCATCACCACAGTCAAGGTCAGAACACGTCAGTCCACTTTTATTAATGAGTATCTGATGTTTTCCTCAATGTCCAGAGTACATCATACTTTTTCCCTTGCTCTCCACCACCTCCAAGGAATTGGATTTTGAGACCACTCCCATTTTTACTCTGCTGGTAGTGGTGACAAATGAGGTGCCGTACTCAGAGCCAGTGTCTGCGTCGACAGCCACAGTCACCATAACAGTTGTGGACAAGAACGAGCCTCCTGTTTTCAGTCCAGCAGAGATCCATGTGAGCATCTCAGAGGACTTGAAAATGGGGAGGTCTGTTGTCGGCCTGAGCGCTAAGGACCCAGACACAGCCAGGAAACAGAGTGTTAGGTAATAGAAAACCCATACACACATGCTGTTTACATATCAACACATGCATGTATGCGTTTTTTATGAATGTACGCTCTTCTATTAAAGTTCTAAATCAGGTTGTTTCTCTTTCCTCCAGATATAAACTACACAATGACTCTGCAAGATGGCTGAGTATTGATGAGGACACAGGATCGGTCAAAGTTAAAGGCAGCCTGGATAGAGAATCACACTATGTCAAAGACAGCAAATACACAGTCCTGATTCTGGGTTACGACAATGGTTGTATTTTTTTTCTTACAAAACTGTTGTAGCCTTCTTTCCCCTTAACTTAATTTTAACATTGACTGAACAATAACCCTGCTGAATCCTTTTTTTTTTTTTTTTTTTTCACGCTTCCAGATACTGTTCCAGCTACAGGGACAGGTACTCTGGTTGTGACATTATTGGATGTGAACGATCATCGTCCAGTGATCAAGCAGAGGAAAGCCAGTCTATGTAACAAGGACCCTGTTCCTGTTCAGCTGGACATAGTGGACCTAGATGGACCAGGTCATGCTGGACCGTTTACTGTGGATCTTCTAGGACAGCACAGGATCAACTGGACTATTACCACCAATTCCACAAGCAAGACAGCTCACTAACAGCATACATACCCAGTGACAAGATGTAGGATTTGACTCCTTGAGTGTTAATCCTGCATCTTTTGTCCATTGCAGGCAATGCGGCAGCCTTGGCCCCCAAACGTGAGTTGTCACCCGGGAACTATTATGTGCTCATGCGTATCTTTGATGTTGGCGCGCTCTACCAAGACAGCACACTGGATGTAGAGGTGTGCGAATGTCAAGGGGCTGTTTCCAACTGCTTTATCTCACACCCTGCCCCTCGTCTGCACATTTCTTCTCTCGCAACATCGGTCCTGGGAGCAATCTTTTGTCTTCTTTGTATGTAGCAGCGCTTTCTTATTCATTCTATATGCTAAATTTGTTTTGGTTCACTCCACTGCCTTTACTTATTCCGATTTTTCTTTTAACCTCAGTGCTGCTTCTGCTACTACTGTTGTTGTTGTTGAGGATGAGGAGGTCGGAGAAGGATGGGCCTTTTCTTGAAGACCTACCAAGAGACAACATCTTTTACTATGATGAGGAGGGAGGAGGTGAAGAAGACCAGGTAGGAGCAAGAAGGTGGAGAGATGTCAGATGTCTCCCTACACTGTCTAATAAAACTCTTTTTCTGTCTGAAAGTGACAGGGATGGAAGTGGTAAGGGCCTTACACGTGTAACTATAATTAATTTTATCTACACTGGTTTTACCTGATGTAATCTAATCCTGTAAGAGCTACGAGTAAAACAGGCCATATTGGTTACAGATGCACATTGTAGAGGGTCAGTGGAGGATAAATCAACCTACTGGGTCTACCTCAGGCTGACAGTCATCAACAGGGAAATAGGCAGGCTCAGGAAACACATACAAGGACCAGAGAAAAGCAGAAGGTGGTCAAAAAGCTTGAGAGTCATGAAAACTAAGGCAGGCAGACTAGAAGGTGAAATAGCTGGTTAGCAACAGTGACAAAGCATTATGGACAGTGTAGGAAAGGGATAAAGGCTAAAAACGTATCGAGGTGGTGTGGAGGCTCAGGTGGTGGATGGGAAAAATCTATTAGGAGAGTGAAAGAAGGTACTGTTTTTAGTGATGCAACAAGACATAGATAAAATAGACGAGGTAGGGGGTAACTTAGGTGAAACCGTGATACTCACAGCAGACATGAAAAGGTGATGATAACACTACATTACCCCTGCTGCCTGACACACTTAACCCCTGAGTCAAGCTAAAGTTTGAGGCTGATTTTGTTGAGGCTGCTCTATGTTTTTATGTCAGAAATTTTTCGATGGGAGATTGGCAAATGATTCATTTTTCTTCAGGAGTATGACCTGAGCCAGCTTCACAGAGGGCTGGATAACCGTCCCGAGGTCCTCTGCACCGATGTGTTTCCCATTGTTGTCCAGAGCCACCCACGCTACCGCCTACAACTCCAAGCCAATGAGGAGATTGGCACATTTATTGCAGACGTGAGTGATGTTAAGATTTTATATATTAGACCTATAGTTTGTTTACTAGAATAGTATGTATGTCAGAGTTGTGTATGAGTGCTATAATAAGATGTTTCCTTGATCATCCCTCTAGAACGTGCGTGCCGCAGACAGTGACCCCACAGCTCCCCCTTATGACTCTCTCCTGGTGTTTGACTATGAGGGCGTTGGCTCTGAGGCGGGTTCGCTCAGTTCCATCAACTCCTCAGACTCAGATGAGGAGCAAAACTATCAGAGCCTGGCCCACTGGGGGCCGCGTTTCAACAGATTAGCTGACCTGTACACAGGCGGGATAGAGGAGGACGATGACACAGAAACATTGCCAGGAAAAACAGAATGGGTCTGACGTGCTCATGTGTATTTAAAGCTCCCGCTGTGACATTTTTCCAGACTTGGCTGTGGTCTGAGATAGAAGATGCACAGGCTCGGTTCATGCATCACTCTAAGCTTTCCTGGTCTGGTTTATTTTATTAGGTTATTGCTGGAATTTGTGGGTCCTTTTACAAACTAAACAATATTTAATAGTATGTGTGCCCTGAGCTTACAGTAATGATGTCATGTTAGGTATATTGTTTCACTTGCTCCACGCCAAAACCTCATTGCACAAATTAAAGTAAACATCATTTACTCTGTATTGAGCGACGGCTTTACTCACGAGTGCAATTGGATTTCTAATTTATGGGCAATATTTGAAGACGTGAGTTTGAACAAGGGTTGGCAGTTCACTGCATTGGCAGGCCCGTGTTGGAGCTCGTAGTTAAGCAGCACCAACATCAGACTCTCTGCATCATCGAAGACATGATCTCAAAGAGAAGTTTATAATAATGAAGTGATAGAGCTGTTAAAAAAATACTGGGTTGGCAACAAAGCTGCGACACTTAGATTATTTCCCTGATATCTCTCAAATAAAACCTTCTCACGCATTACAGGAAACTCATTTCTTCGTTTCTTCAACACATTGCCCAAAGTTCCTCAAGGCTCAGTCGTATGTTTTTATTTTTTCTTCCTCCGTGCATAATATCATCTATAAGCTCAATGTTTCTTGCGGTAATGTGTATGAGACACTTGCTGCGTAGTGTCTAGTGCTGAACTTGCACTGTTGCCACTGTGAAGGATATTTGTTAATGATGTCTTAACATTTTATAATGTGTTTTTAACATTGCTTTTGTTCACTTGCTTTTATTTGTTATATTTTATGATTATGCCTTTTTGATTATTAAACACCTTTTGAGAATGTTTTTATTTGTGAACTTGGTTTGTGTTTTCATTTAAACATGTATTTTGGTTCTTATACTATATGAATGTAAGGGTGAACGTAAGGTGCAGGATGAGATGAGAGTTATGTTTACCTGAGAGAATGGGTAATGAAGTTAGGACAGAAAATATCATCTAAACCAGTCTCTGAAATGAAACCAGCCCTCTGATACTACAGTAAGCTTTGCCAAGCTGATAAGCTCTTTTGTCATGACCAATCATCTCCCTGAACTGCTTCCTCAAGAGTGAACTTTAACCATTCACTGTCAACTAACTCAACTGAACTTTGACTCTCTGGGTTTACTGTATTACACTGAAGAGTTTCAGTAGCAGTGAGAAAAAACTGTCTGTTTAAATCTGTTTAAATGTTTCTTATTTTAGTTAGATGACATTTGCAGCTCGTATGAGGCCGTGTGGATAAATGAGTGTAAAGCCTTACAACATTTGGGGAAGGTAAGTGGTCACGTAGACTGAAATCAAGTGTGAAATCTGATCTGTGTGGATCACTACTGGTATGTTGAAGTAATATATGGGTTGGGCGTTTCCAACATCCATTCTGTTTTCCTACATGTTACCCTTTTTTCTTTCAAAACAGATGACACAGAACATGTTTCAGGAGGGGCTGTACCATGTGTTTTTTAAGGAGACACCTTCAACCCGCCTACAGTCCCAGGTTACCAATCATGAGGAGCTGGACAATGTCAGGATTCATCGTTGGTTCGGGACTGTGGTTAACATCAGACTTTTAGTTGCTGGGGTGAGATGCTATACGTCCTTGTGCTCGTCCAAACCATTGGTTAACATAGTTTATCAGCTTTTTTAACAGTCTGCGTCTGTTTCCCCTCAGGTGGTTCAAGTCATCAGTGCTTTAGCTTGTATATTAAGCACAGTCACCCATGCATGTGTGAGCTACAACTGCTCCGTCTCCATGACAACACCAGTATGGTCAAGCCTATTTGTGAGTCCACTCAATGCAAAGTCTTTTAGACAGAAACAGAAACAGAGTCAAATACTGGCTCATAACTGTTTGTGTGTTTACAGTATGTTGCTGCTGGGTGTCTGGCAATAGAGGTTCAGAGGAAAGCTAATAAATTAAAGGTAAATGCTTTGTTTAATATTTTTTATGTAACTTTTTTTTCTTATGTTATCAACTGCCTCACTTGATTTTGTATCAACAATAAATAGATCATCACCCTGATGGGTCTGAACCTCTTTAGTCTACTGTTTGGATTCTCTGCTCTCCTGGCCAACAGTCTCAGAGCTGCAGAACCTGTTGCACTCAGCACAAAGCAACAGGTAATTCTGCAATTCTTTGGATTCTTGTTATATTAATTTATAACATGGAAATTGTGTTAAGATCATTCTGTTTGTTTCTTTCAAGAGATCCATCAATATCACTGGACGGCAAATTTCTTACTGCTATGAAAAGCCTGTTTTAACATCAGACTTTATATACTGAATGTGTGGAATTAAATGCTTTCTGACCTGTGTGTAAACTGTCTTTTCTTACTCGCTCCCTGTTTTGTTCCTCACCAGCGTGCTGGCTCATACGTTGCGAGGGGAAGCTCCATAACATTTTCTGTACAGTGTTTTCTGGCGTCAATCTACATACTTTTCCTGTCCTGGAGAGGCCTGCGTCGCTACAGTCCTCCCCATACTCAGACCTACAGCCGCCTCTCACAGGTAAATATAGAAGGATAGGGTACACAGAATGACCCGGGCGTAAGAGAGAGATTGGTTCACCATTAACTTGGGTCCTGTGGTCAATTCCGGTTCTTGAATAGTCAGGAATACAGTTTAACTCTATTAGCTGTTGTCAATTGTTTTGTGGGAGTTTGCGCTTTGGATAATCTTCCAGTGAAATAAATCACAAATACCAAATTTATAAGCACAATATTCAGTCTGGATTATCACACATTGTGGTATTTAATGCCATCTGATTGTTCTTCGCTCCTTTTTGGGCAGGATCCAGATGAAACCAACGGACCTCTACTGGAACAAGTGGAATATAATCTGTGAAATTCAAACATCTAAAATATCTTCTTTTTTTTTTAAAGATTTACTGTACATGTGTCAGTTTTTCTGAAAAATCCACTTGCTCACTGGGACAGGGATATTCAAACTGCTGTAGACACACTCCTGCTTGCACAGCTTTTGTAAACGTAGTTATTGTTGTTGACCGGGGACTGTATGAATTTTTTGTGCACTTTTGAGTTAATAATGTTTAAAATGTGATGAAATTATATTATGCTGCCTGACTGATTACTGGGATTCTCAATAAATTGAAATTTACTTACCCAAGCGATGAAGAATTGCATCAACAAATTCAAAAGCTAAAGAAATAAACTGCGTGTTAAATAGATAACGGTGTACATCGAGAACCACAATGACTTATTAAACTGCAATTTGCTAATAAAGTTTACATGCTTAACATTTGTTGAAAGCTGTGCACATCCTTGCACATCAAAAACACCTTTGTGACAGCCTATAGTAAATCTATGTCTACGTAGAATTACTGATAACACAAAGCTATCTGATCATTTAAATCATTTTCAATGTTCTCCTTTGCATGAAACGCCTCGTTGGGGGTCCAGACAATACTTCCTGGTCCTATTGATGTCAACACTTTCTCTTGGTGCTGCCCAACTGCAAACTGGACACCCCCAGCAAGCTTGGCATGCCCCCGCACAAGGCACAACACATAACTACTTTTAATGAAGAGTTTTCTTTAGATTTAGAGCAATGCCGAAAAGACAGTGTCCGCAATTGCCTGGAGAATTGTACTTCATTTCTCCACGATTTTCCACTGCTCCAAACATTGTAGTGTGTGTGAGCCCACACTTCAAGGAGGAGTGCTTCAGAAACCACGCACAGTTCATTTAAACAACGGTTAATTCTGTAATTCACACTTAATGTGGCTGAACAGGAGACTCGGGCTCACAGCCTATCAGTCTGCATAGTTATTGTGAATTTGTGATGTTAACGCATTACCACGACCTGATAATGTTAGTAAGAAGCAGCAGCAAAGTGCTTGAACGTTTGTCAATATTGACATGCTGTACCTCATGAGCTCAGATAAATCATCCATAATTTAACCGCTGAGTTCGTTTTTCAGTAACTATGCGGACAGAAGTTTAATTAATTCAGATTTACCAGCATCGTAAACCAGTAGGAAGTGAAGCGGTGGAGACTCCCTACCTGTGGACTGTCTGTCTTTCTCTCCATTGTTATTATTATTATTATTATTATCCATAACGGGTTTCTCAGTGTTACTAAAGTATTCCAAGTTATGAATATTGTTATCCGAAGTCTTTGCAGACTTACCAGCATTTTGATTAGCAGCACCCTTCATATTTCTCCCTCCTTCCGATTGCGGGACGCTTGTTTTCTGCTCCAGTCCAGCTTGTGAAGGTGGATCAGGTTTATCATCTTCTGGTTCAACTCTTGCTCAAAACGATAAGGCAGAACCGAAGCCGCCACAATCGTTTGTTTTGCCCTTAAAGTGCCCTGAGGCTCTAACAGAGCATTTCAAAGAGAGGGTGAATAGAGAACAGTATAAAGTGTACAGAAAAAAAGAACATTTAAGCATGTAAATCTATTTTAGTTGACACCAAGAATGAAATGATTAACACTTTAAATGCTTTTACAGCTGTCCTAGTTTTTCTCATTTTCATAGATGCTGCTCTGTGAACACTAGAGGGCAGCATTGCCAGAGGTTTTTCATGTTGAAGTCCAGTCTGACAAACAGATCAACTTCTTCTGTTTAGTGTAAGAATAGAGGGTGAAATTGTTTTCACTTAAGACCATGGATGCCTACTTGGTGCATGAGATGACAGTGTGGTCCGTCGAATATGGAATAATTGTTATAATTCACTGTTTTAATCTGATGAGCACTGAGTGTAAATCTTGTTCAGTAAACCTCCATCGATTACTTTTGAACTTGTTTTGAACTGATCCACAGCACATATTTTTATTGAACTAAGAGAGATTGTGAGTATGTCTTACACCACCTTTGCATAAGACTAAACCTAATTCTTACCTTAACCAGAAAACCAAGTTACAGCCCAAAACCTGCCCCTTAACAGACTTAACAAAAGTGGCCTAAAACTAAAGCTGCTCCTCGCAAAGAGATTCCCAAGCCTACACAGAGTACAGACACAGTGAAGGGTGTGGTGTGTTTGAGTATTTAAATGATGGAGAATTTCATTGAGAATATAAAGCAAGGTCATACACCACTCTTGTAGAGCACACACACACACACATTCTAACCGAATTGTGCAAGTGAAAAAAATCACAGAGCAGCTAGTTTCTCACGGCATGTCTGGCTAACAGCTTCCAGCTGTTGCCTGGTTGGGAGAGCTGCTATGGGAACACACCGAGTACAAAGAGTAACATGGGATTCATTAGTAAATGGACACAGAAGGAGAATAAAAGAAAGCAGGATGATGAGGTTTGTTGTCCTCAAAGAAACTGACAATTGATTTCTGTGGTAGACACCGCTTTCCTATTGGGTGCAGCATCACAACTACTGTTTGAGCATGTGTTCACACACTATGTAGCTTGTGTTTCATGTGAGCGTACATGTTAAGTTGTACACAATCCAGTTTGTTCAGATGTCTGCATCTCCTGCCAGTGCCCTTGAATAGTTCCATGTTGCATTTAAACAAAGAGGGATTGTTCTGTGCGATCTGAGTTAACAGCCAAACCATGTGACACAGTGGTTTGCAAATCAGAAACGGCTAAATGTGTGGAAAAAAAAGAAAAAAACTGCCTAGATGTCTACTTTACGTGCAGCTGTTTAATCTTGTGGTCCGCTGTAGGGTGATGAGTAATATCTGTTATCTTTGGAGTGTATCTTCCTTTTGACTCCACAGGAAATCCTCCTTCTCCTTCTCTTGGAGGGCCAGAATGTGAGAAGGAAGTAACCAAGGCCTGCATGTGATGACAAGAGAGTGAGTGTGTCCGGAGGAGAGGAAATGGTGACTACATGTGGAGATTCCCTTTGATTAGTTTCACTGACACTCTGACCTTTCAGCTGAATGGCCTGGAAGTGAGTGACTAAATAACTTCATGTTTTTGATTTTAAATTAATGGAAGAGACAAAAAAAACAGACAAAAAGATTGTCTTGAGAACATTCATCAATAATTTATTTTTCTTACTCTCAAGAACCACCACGGCTTCTCATCTTGAAAATTCATCATCAATTTCCAACAACACAGTTTTGAAAAATGTAAAGTTACTATACAAATTTTTAATAGAAAAAAGAATAAATTAACTGTGGAATTCAGTTTTTTTTTTCTTATCAATTCCACATTTTTTCTACAACACCTTTAATGTTACAGTTGAACAGAACTGATAAAATCAAGTTACATGCTCTATTGTCTGGTAGGGGAAGTGATCTACTATTAAACTGTTTGTTAAAATAAGCTTCATTTTGCACAACTGGTATTGAATCTATTGATAACAATGAACAGATGTCTAGATCCTACGTGACAAAGCAGTAACTGGTCATTTTGTAGCACCTGAAGGGTTGTTACGATGTCAGAACTAAAAAAAAAAAAAACAATACTGGTTCATATAAAATGGAACATTGTTAAAACAATGAATGTGAATGTTAAAAACCCCACAAAACCTTACAGTGCCCCTCCGTACATACAGGAAAAGACTGATAAAGAGTTAGTTAATTTCTCTTGGAGTATTATAAAAACCTCAAACATCTCTATGGAGCACAGAAAATATGGTGTGTTTGGAACTACAGAAGGAGGGGACGTCACACTTCATCACATCGGACTCGGGGGTCAGAGATCACCACAGGGGCAAAACAGGACTGTCTGGGGGTGGGGCGACACTACAGAGCAAGACGTGCTAATGTTAGCATATAGAAATCGGATGCTGGATGTCTTAGGGGTTTTTATTTGTCACTGGATCTGAATGGCATGCGTGGGATTGTGTGTCTTTGGCGCACAGGATCTGGGCGCAAACTTTCAGTGAGAAAAGTTGGGTCAAACTTCAATACACTAGAGATGGTAACTGTGTGGTGAGTGCTGGTTCCAATCCTGGGTAAAGACCTGTCAAATTTGACCAGGCATGGATGGATAACTCTTGGGGGAACCAGCCATGCACAGGGGCATGGGAGTGGGCTAAACCTTCTTATGAAAACAGTCTTGAAAGTGACAGATTACAACAACTGACGTCAGTGCATAAAGGAAACACCACTGTGAGAGACAGGGTAGCATACGTACCATTCCTCCCATGCATTACAGCATGATACACAATTTATCCAGACATAATGGTGCAATGTGACTGAAAAAAAACACAAAAAAACATGTCCATTTCTCTCTGTCACTGAGATGTACAATCTGTCATACTCTTAATAAAATTAACATCTGATTAATTCAGATTTTGTGCAACAGCAAAACAATGGTAAGCGTCATTCTGCAACATAAACATTTTTCAAGGTCAGATGAGGGAAACAGATTCAGGAAAAGCAACAACATGCAGAATTCTACTTCCTTTGTACAAAACCAGATGTGCTTTTCTAACCCTGATCTTAATATCTGATTGTTGATTGGGATATGTGATAAAATAATTCTCTACATTTTAGAGGGTTTTTTTCTCTGTTCTGATTATGGCTTCTCTTCTGCCCTGACAGTGGGGTATTAATTATTACTTCATTGATGTCCATATACTGTAAAAACAAAACAAACACCAATAACGCCTCATCCTTGGTTCTAGCTTTTCTAGTAGCCTCTTATGAACTTTGATACAACTCATCAGTATAATATTGAGGGTGGAAAATGAACTGAATATACCAATGGTAGCTCCAGCCCTCATAGACACTGTTGATGTTGTGCTTTGACTAATTTCTTAACAATACTGCCAGATGCCAAATTATAGAGACGCATGTGAAGTGTCTTCTAGCTACTCTGCATTGCTGCTGTTTTATAGAATGGCTATAGACTGTGGGGATTTGAAAGGGTCTGTAGCTTGAAGGAGCTGCTGTTCTAGTGCTGAAAACAGTACAAATGTAAAGCACAAACATGTTTGGCACAAATATATTAGTATTCACGTGTGCCCATAAATGCAAGTGTTCTGACTGTCAGCGTGTGTTCTGGCCAGCGTTGAGTTCAGACTGTCTGTGCTCAGTCAGGGTCTCTCCTGTCATGTTGAAGAGAGGGACAGAAAGATGAGAAAACACAGTGCTACAAAAAGACTGACAGATGCACAGTATGGTGTGAATATAAAACCAAGACCAAAGGCGAAGAACAGACAATAGTGATAAAAAAAGATGAGTCACTGTAGAGATTTATCACTGAATAGCCTCAATGTCAAACTACAAGTAATGCCAACAGGTGTCAACAGCCAATCGTCCTTTACTTTCAGGGTTGAAGATGAAAAATATGAAAAGCTGAAATTAAATGTTGCAGTAATTGTGACTGTATGTAGCCATGTTAAAAAAAAATCACCCTTCAACCCAACCCTCCACGCTCTGGCTCAAGTACTGTTCATAGTCCACCATGCGGCCAAACAAACTGTTATGGACATAGAAATCTTATAAAGACCAAAGACATTAAATAAAAATGAATGATGAAGTCACTGAAGAAATCATAGATTAATGCCAAACCCAATAACCACAACTCCATGTTCTCCCTGTGATGCACTAATGATCCTTTACTCCAAGCGTCACAAGGCAGAGAACATGGCAAAAAGCCTGCTTCAATTCACTCTGAAGATTCAAACCAGTTCGTGTACTTGTACAATGTTTGTTATTGCTATAGTCCTCATCAATATCCCAGACAGTCCCAGAAACCATCCTGATATTGTCATTGTGAATTCACTCTCAGACGGTTGACTGACAGTCACTTTTCTGCAGGGGGCACCGGCTCATCAGACCCTGGTGTGATCAGTCAATCCATTAGTTGTCTTTGGTTGTGGGTTAAAACTGAGAGGAGTTGAATTTGTCATCTATATGCTTGCTAATCCAGATTTTTTGAAAAGTTTGTGTCATGTTCTCTTTTTATAAATACGCAGGGAGAAATAAACAAGACAGACAAACAACACTGATGGGAATAATGAAATCCAACACAGTTCGTTTGGGCCTGGAAATGGGTTTCAAACTGGTGGCTCAAATCCAGCAGGTATCCTCTGATTGGGTGGCAGTGCACTGGAGTTCGTAAGGTTGGGGGACCAAAGATGAGATATGAAATAGATCCTGGAATGACCAGTGTTTTGTTGAGTCTGAGTTGTGTGTTTGATATTTTTCTGTGCTCTCTCTCTTTCAGTCGCTCCTTCCCCCCGTGCCCGTTGCTTGTGTGCTGCAGAGGGTGAGTAAAGAAAGGGCTCTGTGGTGCTGTAGGGCAACAGTTCAACAGCTGAGGTGACACTTCTCAGTCTATCCTGTAAAACCAGCCCTTATCAGAGCCTAGTGAGTGTGTCCCTGTCTGACTGAGCTGTGATAGAGGGGGCATAATAAAGAGGTGGTGAGATGGATGAAGGGCAGGATATAGGGAGGAGGAAGGCTCATGTCCAGTCCACTAGTCCGGTCGGGGCAGGGTTTTTGTAGGGCTTTAAGGATGAGGTTGTTGGTTGTCGATGGGTAGTAGTGAGGGACAGTTGAGAGGCAGTAGGAGAGGGCAATGGTACTTTTCTGGGCCTCTAAAGGAAGGTCTCAGACCAGGGTTCCAGGTTTGGCCTTGTCGTGTCCGTACCACTGCACATCTGCCAGCTCTGAACACAGGGGGCTGCTGAGAAAACAGCTGTCGCTAAAAGACCTGCAGAGGAAGAGAGACCAGGATCACACTGACTTTACAGAACAGCTTTTTATTTCAAAAGGTAAATTAATCAAACATTCTAAATACTATCATTTCTATGATTTCTAGTGTTCATCTGCTTCTGAGTTTCCTTTGTTAAACAACGTTCTCTGTTACGACACATACAGCGCATGGTTAAGTATTTCTATTAGTAAATCCTGTAGTGAATGAGCCACATTGTCAGAACACGGAGCAGAGCACATGCAGAGATCAGATACAGATACAGCCAGAGAAGGAGTACCTGACACACATACCTCCACCATCAAAGAGCAAGAAACTGTGAACCTTCTTCATTGTCAGCCCCCCCACAGGTGATGATATAAGTGACTAGTAGACATGTTGCATGAGCTCATTATACTTTTAGAGGTGTGTACGGACAGATTTCTGTGAATATCTGATTGTGTGTAAATTTAGTACTGCTGTCACTGCTGTATTTTTACTTCTAGATTTTTTTTTTTTTAGTTTATTCAGTTTTTTTTTTTTTTTTTTTGCAATATCTGCTTATGCTGCTGCTGTGTTTTCCCAACAGTACACTGTAGCTTTAGACCACTGGGAGGCCGAGACCACAGACAGTACCTCTATGCATCAGAGCTGGGCTGAGGGGGAGACTGACAGACGTCCTCAGTAGGAGAGCTGTCTGCTGTGCCTCTAAACCAGGAGAGAGGACACACACACAAGGAAAGGAGGGTTAGTATAGACAGAAAGAGGGACGGGAAAGAAATGACAATATTAGGTTATAGAAAATCGCGCCATAAGAACAAGGCGACCAGAGGTTGTGAGCGGTGACGTGAAAAACAGAGGGCAAAGAGTGAAGAAACAAAGATGCAGTGAGTGAAACATTTACAGAAACAGAAATGAACGACAAGCCAAGAGGAGTGTTATAATTTGAGTAAGAAAAGTTTTGAGAGATATGTTAACTCAAAATGACAGAAAACCAACCTCCGCTCACACAGATACAACAGACGGTACAAGCTTGTGAGGATGTTAGAGTCAGGTTTGGACAAAGATGGTGAGAAAGAAGCTCAGAGGGCAAGATACAGTGTCCTAAATTAAGATTAAATCATATCTTCAAACATCTTGTTACCCTGTTTTTAGCCGCTTCATGAGTGCGTTGGTGTGTCTCTTACCCGCTCTGCCAGTTGAGGATGTGCTGTGGGCTACAAGGGGGTGTGGGTGTGGCTGCGTGTTCACTGGAGGGCGTCATACTCCTCTGGCTGTGAGGGGATGCAGCTATGGGGAAAATGGACAGTTAGTAATGGTGATACAACACATGCAGCGTGAGATAGAGACAAAGGAAACAAGTATATATATACAAAGGGAGAACAGACGTACAAGAGGCTATAGTGAGGTGAGGGGCAAAGGAATGTCAACTATGCTTCACACATGGTTGTGGGGGAGGGGTCCTCAGTGTCACAGCAACAATTTGGCTCAGGGGTCACACACTACAGCAGCCTCGTTGGCGCAGTAGGCAGCGCGTCAGTCTCATAATCTGAAGGTCGTGAGTTCGAGCCTCACACGGGGCAGAATGTTTTCCTTTTACACTTTATCTGCCTCCATTCAGCAGCTGTTTTGTGTTGTGTTACCATAGACTTATTAACACACAGACAAAACAACTCACTCCCATGTAACTCATGCACAACTTACAGACTCTACTCAAACTGTGCCATTTGTGTGTTCAAAGACATCAGTTTGTTGTTGATGTGTAAACTTAGTTGAAGTGAGATTATACATTGATCAGATAATTTGGATTTGTTGCTCTAGCAGCAGAGAGAGGCGCAAAAGAATAAGTAAGAAAAGCGAAGGGCCACCTACATCTGCAGTTTGATGTGAATGTGATGTGATCAATGTCAGCAAAGGCTTTTCGCCAAGAAAAAAATGTGGACACTTGGATTTAGCTAGTCTCAGTAATTTAAAAATTATAATACATTGTGACGTAATTTAAAATGAAATATAAATGGTGAAACATTTAATTATTCAGCTAGTGCTCTCAATCATTACCACAAATATCCAAAATGAAGTCTGTCTCTGATGTATGTACAGACAGACCTTGTTGAAACAGTTGCAGTGTGTCAGTTTTGTAATCTGATGGTTGTGAGTTCAAGCCTCACATGGAGCAGTGTGTGTGTGTTTTTTTTGCCTACCCACTGTATATTTGCTCTCACAAAAAAATAAATGTATGAATCTCATAATCTGAAGGTTTTAAGTTTGAGCCTCACACAGGGCAATCTTTTCAATAATGGACATTTATTGTTAGAACCTCTGAATAAACGAAATAAACTGTTAAACTAAATAAATGGAAACTTTTATCTAAAACACATGATGATTCTTTTTTCCCCTTATGAGCAAAGGTTTAATGTGAACTAATGAAGGTGACCCACCTGGTGAGCCCTTGGCGAGTGTCCCTACTCTACTCCCTCGTCCATGTCCCAGAGTGCCTTGCTGTGACCCTGTCTCGGAGGAAGTGGATCCCGAATGTGAGTGACTCCTCTCCTTCAGGCTCCCTGAGGACCTCTGGTACCAACATCGCAGCTCTTCAGACACTGCTGCCCTCCCCCCTCCTCCTCCTCCACCGCCCTCTCGCCCCAATGACGGAGTCCGTACGATCTGAGAGCGTGACGGCGTGAGTCGGCCACTCCCCTCTCCTCCCTCCTCGCCCCCCCAGGCTTCCTTGTACAACCCCCCGGCCGTGTAGGAGCTGGAGGTCTTGAACTGGGCCTTGACGCTGTAGTGGCCCTCCTGATCGCTTTCCAGGCTGCGCACCACCACGGGGTTGGGGCTGCCCTCCACGTACAGCGGATACTCCTTGATGCGATACTGGGAGGAGGGCTGGCTCTGGCTGTGGAGGTAAACTCCGTGGTGACCCCCTCCCATCCCACCTCCACCTGAGCCTCCACCAGAGCCGTTCTTAGCTGCCAGGTTTGGCATGGAGCCGGAGTTAGAGGAACCCAGGTGTCCTGCAGACCTGGACAGAAAACATAAGCCAACAGTGTAATTCGCACAGATATTTTTATTTCTTGATATGCGTATTGTACAAAGGAAAAAAAGAAAGAAGAAAGCTTCTTTCCCTGCACCTCACCCACCCTTACCTGTGCCTTTGCCTCTGCCTCTGCCTGGCTTTGGAGGGTGAATCCTCTCCCAGAGTAGAGTAGTTGGGGTTGCTGCCGGGGGGTCCACCAGAGGGGTAGTAATGCTCTGAGCTGCTTTGGCTGGTGCAGGATGAACAGTCATCCAGTGGGTCAGAGCCATTGGAGCTGCGTCCTGGGCCCAGGAAGAAGTCAGGGCTGCCCAGTGTTCCCAGGGTGTGCGGGTGTGGGTCAGGGTCAGATGCGAGCAGTTTGCCCTGGGACTCAAGGCTGGAGCTGCGGTTCCTAAAGTGCTGAGCAAGACTGTGCAGACGTGTGGGACTGATGTCCACTGACCTGTAAGATGAAGAACCACAAACAATGAATATATGTGCTGAGCTACTGTTATTCTGAAAATGAAAACGTAGCAAGATGCAGTTTTGAAGACTTGTCACTGCTAGGTATTTCTACAGTTATATAATCTGTTATGTTTACCAGAGCACTGTAACTCTTGAATAACCATCAAACAATTGAGGGTAATAAAGACTGACCTAGTGGAATGTACATAGTGTGGGGTCCTGGACCTCAGGTCTGGGGTCGACGGCATGCTGGACTGAGAATTCCAGTGAGGGAGGCTCCTGATGGGGCTGCTCTGCAGAGAGTTACTGCCCCCTGCCTCAGCACTGCCAGAGCTTGGGAAACGCCTGTGACTAAAGAGAGGTGCAAGGAAAATGAGCATCAATTATAATAAATGTCATCACATGTATACTCCTTTCACACAGGCACATGTGAACAACATGCATTTGAGGCATTCATGTGAGGCCGTAGTCACTGTCTGAAATTGTACTTCCACACATATTACTGCTAATTTTGACTGAAGATGTTACATTAAAGATGACTAAACTATACCTTAAATGCACCTGTGAGGGGCATCCTAGTGGCTCACCTGGTAGAGTGTGTACCATTAAGGCTTAGTCCTAACCCTTTCCTGCATATCATCCCCTCTCTCTCTCTCCCCCTGACTTTCCTGTCTCTCTCTCACTACAACTATCAAATTAAAGGCAAAAAAAAAAAACAAACAAAAAAAAAACAAAGGGACATTGAAGATAAACTCCCTCATACCTGGAGTGAGAGGAGCGTTTCTTGACTTTTTCATAGGGCTCATCCAGTGATGATTCGCTCCACATCTTGGGTTTGATGGGCGATTTATCGTAGTCAGAGCGTGTGTAGTGCAGGTGTCGCAGGCCATCCAGGGACTGCGGTGGAGGGGGCCGACTGTGAGATGGTGGCCGAGGAGGGAGGCCCTTGTGAGGTGATGCTACCGGAGAGAAGGTGGGGGTACCAGTAACTTGAGGGTCATCTGAAACAAAGAAATAATAAGCACTCTATAATTCAGATGGAATTACATTTAATTTCATTTTTCATTTAATCATGAACTGCAGAAAGTGCACAAATACAATGTGAAGGATTCACATTATCATTACCATCATCCAAGACCAGTGCGTCAGACAGTGAGCTGTCTTCAGAACCAATATTGGCCTCTATAGGACAGAGAAACAAAGGCAAAATGTTAGAGGTTGTACAATTCCAAAATCAAAAAGCTTAAATTCCTATTTTTTACAAATCTTTTTTTGTTGGGTTTTGTCAGCGTCACTATCCATGTGTGGACTTCTATTACTGTTCTAAACAGTGCTTGAGAAGATACTGTTGTGTGTGGTGGCAACTGTAGCTAATAGAAATAAAGTGCTATGAAAACAATCTGATTTTCCTGTATAGGGGAATTTTGGTACCTTCTATGATAAGCGACGCTCTCTGCGTAGGCTTCTTGCCAGAGCGGACCCGGTACTCATTGATAGAGTTCTCAATTTCCTGTAACTTCTTCAGTGCGTTCAGATAAGAAGTCTTCCTCTGTTTCTTCAGCTTCTTACTGCTCACATGAGGATCGCTGGCAAGACGCCTGGCTGCCTCCGTAATCTGGGACTGAATGGCAAACTCCCGCTCCAACCGCTCCAGCTCCTCTTCCTGGGATAAGCGCGCACACACACACACACACACACACACACACACACACACACACACACACACACACACACATACACAAACATGAGAACAAACTCTGAGTAACACAGGCAAGCACAAAAGCACAAAGATACTGGATTCAGCACACAGTTTTAGCAACAGAAATCTACACACAATCCAAAAACAACAAAGCTTAGTTTGCAGACACATATTCAGACTGTAACTCTCCCATGCAACGTATTTGGTTAGACACACACAGAACCTTGCCAGAGAAAACACACTGAGGAAATCATTTATCTGTGCTGCAGTTCCACATTTTCTCACCACTGGATATTCTCTATTGAGTCCCCAATAACAACACCTCTCCATCAATCCATCCTCTCCTCCTCTATACTTCTCCTGAGAGTTGTGGAGCAGAGACTGTAAGGTGAACCAAGTAAAACACACTGTCATGCTGCAAATGTATTGCATATTGCATATGTGTTTATTGCTAAATGTGTATCTACATACTACAGTGTGTCGTGTAGTATACTGTTGTATAACATAGTATAGAAGAAACTTGTGAATGTGATGGTAGAGAAGGAAATAGACTCATGGCAGCCCTGTGATAAACACACACACTGTGTAGAGCCTGCATGTAATGTGTGCTCTCACATGACAGAACACACCCACTTGCCTCCAGAGAGAGAGAGAACAATGATGTATTCACTTGGGTCGACATCTTACTGGACTACCTCAGTTCTGAGGAATCCCTCTCACACAACAGTGCCTTCACACTACTGCCAGAGCAGCTTCTGTTTCTGTGCGTGTATGAATTTAAGGTGTTCAGGATAAATTAAGAAACATCTTTTCTGCTTGCAAGGCACTTTTGTGATATTGTGTCCCTGGATTCTTTTCAAAACATACAACCTCAGCGACACACACCCACACACGCATGCCTGCACACAGGCAGACACGCACACAATCCTACTATCACCACTTCCTATGGCGAGAATGCTGCCAGACTATTTTTAGAAGTTTTGCTGCTCTGGAAAATCTACCCGTGGCACAAGAAGACAGCAAGAAAAAGATGCAGTTCAACTACTTTTACAAGGTCCAAGACATCTCAGACTGTGGCTTTTCCCTGCTCTTAGTTTACTATGCTTCCTTAATAAATGAGTAGGGATCATATAACTTATCATCAATCGTCAATCATCATCCCATGCTGTTTTAAATTAAATTAATCATGAACAAGCTTTGATCTGTACTGAGCTTTCAACCACCAGTTGTGATCTATAATGCCCAAACTCAGTTAATAAATGTATCATTAACATTACAGCCGGCTTAAAGGGAGACAAACACTCTTAACTAATTAGCACTGCATTCAACATGTTCCAATTACTGCAGCCCAGTGCGTCGCACAGGTACATGTTGCAGTATGTATTTGAATCGAACACTGACACCTCTAGATGACTTTGTGTTTACAATTAGCTTCTGCTAGGAGATTGTAGAGTGTGATAAAGTGCTACTGAGGAGAACTGAGAGCTGAAGCTTCACCTCTCCCTTAGGAAGAATTTTCTGCTCGTCCAGTTTGAAGGCGGTACCAATCTTTCGTCTCACTGTGGGCGGCTCCTCTCCCGGATCCAGAGGATATTCCTTAGGAAGCTTTCCTGTCAGCTCCTGGAAAATGTGTGTGGGGGGGGGGGAAATAACGTTAGAAAAGAACAGCTAAAAAGGATTTTAGTGTTCATAATATTTACCACATCTATCAGTGTTTTCTCATACCGCCTCTCTGATGCAGATGCTCTTCAGTTCTTCTAGTCTCTGTCTTAGTGTTTCTTCCAGAGCTTCCTGCCTGGCCCTCAGTGCTGCCAGCATGTCCTTCTTAGCTGTCTGGGAGCTGTCCGATTCTTGAGAACCTGCAAGGTAAAGACAACACATGATATGAGGGCAGGAGTCTGGAGCATATATGTGTGTTCGTGTTTGGATTTGGGGGAACTTCTTTTGAGGATGATTGTGGAGGGCAGGGGGAAATTGTGCATGCACCTGCTAGCCTTGCAGGATGTTTACAGGAAGCGAATGGAACGTTTCGATAAGGAAGCTGAGTTTTAGTCGGGTGTTTGTGCAATTCAAAGAAGGGGCAGTTTAGGGAAAAGTCTGTGACGCACAATTTCCAAGGCCCTGAGATGGTGCCAGTCCTGTTTACAACATGCCTTGTTGAAAAGTACGCAAACACACACACATTCTGTTTCTCTCTGTTGCTCTCTCGGTGACCCAATGTGGTTCACTGTGAGGTCAAATGTTGCAACAATACAAAACTAACCGCTGCTGAAGCAGTTATTTGAAGCAAGAAATATTAGATGTCTCTATCGTTCCAAAAAGATTATATTAAAGTTCAGTGTTCCTACATCTATTTAAGTGATGTTTGACAGTCATATTCCTGCATATTCCACATTTTCAGCCATGAAGAGTTTCAAATTCATCACTGAAAATCCACTATCTAGATCAGACATGTTGACTGGACAGTGGTGGTGAAGGACAGCAGTAGATCATGAAATCAACACACAACACCGCAGAGACAAGTGACAAGACTCAGACAGATAAGACAGAGACACACTGTATGAAATGGGGTGGGGGTGGAACTAAAGAAGAACAGAGAGGAGAGAAAAGGGAGATTAGGAGACTAGGAGTGGATATTTGAGGAGATAAAGGGAAGGGATTAGGGAGGAAAGGGGAGATACATGTTTCTATACTGAGTAAAGAGAGGTTGAGGAAGAAACAGGTCTGATCAGATGAAAATGAGCAGAGCATGCTGGACATGATTGCTGAGATAGAATAGTGTCCTGACAACAGTAATTGATTCAATAAGGTGTGCTATACTGTAAATAGCTGACCCCATAGCCATGTCCACACAGACATACTTGCCTCTTCTGATGCTGGTTTGGTCGAGTGCATGTCATTTTATAAGTGAATAACGCAGCAGTAGATAACCAGGTTAAAGTACTTTCATGGCATGCAATACACTTTACATGCCTGTTTGGGTTTAAAAGGGCATTTTCCTCTCTACTCTAATTTTAGTTCATGTAGAAATCTTTCTGTCATACTCACTGCTTGTCCAGATAGGCATTGTTTTAAAGGCCGTGACAAAGTTGTACACTGACTTGCTGACCTTTTCATTCCTGCACTCACTAAATTTAGAGGGGGCAGGGGCCTCTGGAGGATGAGTCTGTGTGACATGGAGGGTGGGAGTGGTGCTCTATACATTCAGAATGACGCTGGGTGGGGTGTGTGTACAGTATGTGTGTGGGAACATTCAGCAGAGAATAAGTGGCCTTTTTCCAGAGGCAGCTGTTTCTGTCTCTCCAGTTGTCAACGAGGCTCCCCCTCACCACCAAACATGCAAACACAAAGACAAGTACACTCACATATCAGTAATTCTCTCTCCCTGTTTGTCAGGCTCCTTCTCTCAAACACAATCACACACACATATATATATAAATATATATATAAAAATATACTGACCTGAGGAGAGTAGACTGCCACTGCTGCCACTGATAATCTTGCCCTTGCTGCCCATGTTGGCCAGTTTGGACGTCTTCAGAGTTCCGGTTTCAGTAAGGTCTATAGCGATCTCACTCAAACTCCGCGCTGCATGGATCTTCGACTGGACAGACAAGAACGGAGAGGGTCCGTCAAGGCACACATTTTAATGGCAACACTCTTGCTCACAATGCTTGCAGAGTTTGCTGTATTGCTTCTACATTTTTAATCATGTCTGTGGTCTGTGGTGTGTGTTGAGTGTGTTTTTTGTGGGACTGACTGACCTTGCTCTGCTTGCGGTCCAGGTAGAACTGGTGTTGGCTGATGGCCATGGCCCAGATGGACTTGATGAGGGCAGGACAGGCGTACCAGGTATGCACAGCGATGCCACTGTGGCCAAACGTCCTTCTTGTCACTGACGCCCTACAGTAGGAGCGGACACAAGGCCTCCTTATATACACTGAATACAAAAGATAGCTACAAATGTACAACAGTGAAAACACTCTACCACTACCACTACTAATAACATTACTACTGCTGCGGCTGCTCTGAAGAAGAGGAAAAAATATTAGAGGCTTGAGAGAGCAAACCCGATAGAGATATTTTTTGCAAAGCCACACACGATGTTCCCCATTGTTTACTCATCCTTATTTAAACACACATCTGTAGCTGAGCAACAGACCAGCTCACCCAAAATGACAGCTTCCTTTAAAGAAAACACCACTGCTCTCTGTTTCACCCTGCCTGTCTCTTTTTCTCCCATTCCCTCCCTCTCTCTGTCTGTAGAATAACACTCCACATATATAGCCATGTTAAATAAACACAAGAGAGGTCATTTCCTCCGCAAAACAGCTATCACTCAGCCATCTATCCTTCTGTGGTCAACTATCAAGGGTTTGACCTGTGTGTGTGTATGTGTGTGTGTGTGTGTGTGTGTGTGTGTGTGTGTGAGAGAGAGAGGAGAGAGAGAGCACATGAGTTTTTGCATGCATGTGGCTGCACAAGTGTGTTAACAATCAGCCTATCAATCTATGTCAGGCTCCACTGGGACATCCCCAATATCTTGCTCTATTGCCAAAACAAACACTGCAACCATTATAGAATTAGATTCCAATCGCTCTTTTCCTGCAGTGTGCTGTATGTAACTATAATCTTAACACTTTCACATATGGCACAGTGGTAATATACAGTAAATAAAAAGAGGAATGCATCCTTAACTGATGGAAAATTGTATCACATCCAAATATTCAGTCACTAATGAAAGACCCATATGAGATAATAATCATCCAACCAATGAAGAATCAAACTTCTTTTTAAAAACACAGATAAGACAAGAGAAGACAAGTTAACAAGTTGCTTAAATTTGTGATATAAATTTACCTCCTGGGGTCATGAACTTCCACTGAAAACTTTTTCTCTCTGAAGTAGAGGTTCTCCAACTGACGCCATTGGAACACCTGAGGTTTAGGGGAAACACACGCTCTTCAGGGCTGCTCATACAAAAACATGCTTCACATTAAATCCACACAGCTTTCAGTCAAATCCGCTTTTCTCTTCTCTATATGTTCCAATTTGTTTTGAAAAAAAAAAAAAAAAAGGATAAGAAGAACGCGAAGAAAATAAATGGAAGCCGATGAAGAGGAGGAGTTATGAGCAGAGAAGGAGGTGGAGAAAGAGAAGAGGACCTAGTCTGGAGCTCTCTGATCAGGTCCAGACCAGGCAGTCTTGTCCACAGCGGATCCCTGCTCTGGATGACCTCACTCTGCAGAAAGACAGTGTGAGAGGGAGGAGGCTTTCTTTCCTCCGCTCAGCTTTGCTTTTTTTTTTCTCTTTTCCGTCCGCTTTATGAACCATCAGCTTCTCTTTAAATGAAGTTAAAGCCAGCTGGGCGAGAAAGTTTCCCCCAAGACTTACTCCGCAGCATGTGTGTATCTTAAATCCTCCCAGGCACAAGGGAACAGAAAGTTTCTAGATGGTGGGTGTTCACCATCTGTAGGCATGTGCGTGTGTGTGTGTATTGGTGGGGAGAAAGTGTGTAAAGTTAAGTTTCCTCCTCTCCTGGAGCTTTGCTATGAGAGTTGAGGAGGGAGGGGGCGTTTATGCTTCCCCTCCTCCTGACCCCTCCTCCCTCCCTTAGGGACTGTGCTTCCTGCTCTGGGCCCTGCAGTTGGGAGGTGTGTGTGTGGGGTCAGGGGAGGAGTGATGAAGGGGGGAGAGAAGCCTTCTGTGGCCCCTGCAATTGAAGTGCCCTTGCTTTGTTTAGTCAGAACCCTGTGCACACACACACACACACACACACCCACACTCACAAAGTCTGGGTCTGGTTCTTGTTAGAGAAAAGATAGAGTGTGGGCTGTTTCAGAACACAAGAGGGCTTGCATCTATCAGCTGGAGCAGGCATGCAAGCATACTCACAGACCTCTGAAGGCCAGCGACCAGCTTTTAGTGAGGAAAGTAAGACTGAACTGCAACAACTGACAAACAAGAGAAAAGGTACAAAGTAGAAGACCCAGCTATGACAGGATGAGGGAGGAAAAGAGGAGAAAGGGAGCTAAGGGAGGAACAGGTCACAGCCCAGGAATTTTAACAGCCTGGGAAAACAATGGACAGAGGGATGAGAGGGAGGAAAGGGGGGGGGGGGGAGAAATATTATGAAAACAGTATGTAAACACAGCCTAATGTATGTATTTATGTGCTGGAGGAGTTATGCACTCTTGTGTGTGTAGTGCACGAGTATGAAGAAAGCAAACTGGTGCTCTTATCAAAACTGTTTCTGTACCGTACATTTTAAATGGAGTGTGAAGTGCTAATGTAGCATGGTGCTAAATATAGCGGGCAGGGTAGATAGTGAGAGAGTGACTGTGTGTGTGTTGGCTACATGTGGACCAAAGCTGTAGAGATAAGATAGGTGTTTGTAACTGTGTTCAGGCACGAGACCACTAAAGCTGTCCTCGCAGAGCTGCTGTAACTTTGAAAGTGGACTTTGATGTTTCAGGATAAGCTATACATGTACATGTGTGCTAATAGTGTCCAAATATAAGTGGAGAATGTTAACAACAGCCACAGGATTTTACAACAAAGTACAACAAAGTCACACTAGAGTTTAAAATAAGACATTTTTGTTGTGATTCCAGTGCCGCTTCAAAAACTGCTCCAGTTACATAACCCTATTGTGTAAATGAAACCTTTCTAGTCTTAGTGACTACTTTGTGAATAGCTTAAATATCTGATTAAAAAAACATGCTGACAGCTTATTTCTTAGGAAGCTGGCGGGTGCTTCTGTTATTAGGTCGAGGTTTGTGGATGTATGCGTACGTATGCTATAAATCCTCTTCCTTTTGACTGAAACACTGACACATAATGGCACAAACACACACAAGCAGAGGAAGTGACTGGTCATTATTCATAAACAACTGGGTGGTCACTGGCACAGACCCACGTCTGTCTCATAATAATTTCTATGCACCCGAACACGAACACCCATTACAGATGAAAAGGTCAGATTTGATAGAGTGTAAAGGCCTTTATTCTGTGTAGTGGACTCCCTGGGGACTCTGGGAAGAATAGAGTTTAGAATAGAAGAATAGGGTAGTTTAAATAGCATAAGCCACAATAACTGTGAAGCCAGGTATTTATTCCTTTCTAGAAGTGGACCTGAGGGTCCCGAAGACCATTGTTTCACCCATAGGTGGGGTTCTGGCGCGAAATACTATACCCACCAGTTGTCATGGAGATGAAGATACACTCTGGGGGCGCTTCCTGTTGTTTGTGTATTGGTTGTGGTGTTTTGGAGGGATGACATTTATGGAAAAACTAATCGCAACAGGCTGTAGCTGCCTATTTGCTCTAAATGAAACACAGACAGAAGTTGAATAAGTTAATCAGTGTGTACTCTCAATCCACTGCAGAAAATTTGAATTAATATGCAGTGAAATGCATATGAGATGACGATAAGGTACACCATAGTTTGCTGTATTTGATTGAAACTTTCCTGTGGCTTCATCACAGTGATGACAGAAGCTTTTACACGTTAGCCTTAAGTCAATCAGCCAGGTAGTTGGTCTATAATCTCTGCCTAAATGAGTCGAAGCACACTAATGAGGCATTAGTACAGTGTGTGGTTAGGTCGTAAACCCCTGTCTGTGTGTAGTGTATATGTCTGCATGTGGCCTGCGGTAAGCAGAGGAGGAAAAGTATTTTAACATCCCCAAATAAACGTGGAGGGTGCGGTAGATGGTTTGCATTTAGAAACAACAGGAACTCCCCTTGTAAAGAGACTAATTAAACACAACTGTGTCTAGTACACACACACCCATTGTAGTACAACTTGAAATCACTTAGTCACTTATTAATGAATAAAAAAGGTTTGTGTTGAAAACATAACCCATTTTTACTCTGAGAAAAGATGGTAATTGGCCCAAAATATCTCATAATTAGTGTCCTGCCTCCTCTTCACTGAGTCACAGTACTGAAGAATTCAGCAGTGATAAAGTAGTGATTATACCCTGAGTCAGTGGTTACTGGTACTGGACTGGACTGGCTGACTGACTAATAACCATATCAGCTGCTCTTCCTCCAGTCTGTTAAAACAGGGATGACCTTCATGGAACATGGAAAGCTGCTAGTGATCCCTCTGAATCTCTTCCTGTGAAACAGCTTTAGATAGCAGTACCACCCACCCTCTTTTCTCTGCCTGATCACTGAAAAAAACCTTAACTGTGTTCACTGGGGGGTTCAGTCGAACTTGATTTTGGCACTGAGGAAGCCCAGTCTCTTCTTCTAAACACGTGTGTTTATGTGTGTGTGTGTTACGGTAAGGGAGAAAGAGAAAGAGCAAGAGGGACAGAAGAGAAGTGAAGAAAGTGAAGGGGTCAGTGCTGAAGCTTAGCGAACCAGTGACTCACACTGACTGTTGCTATGGCAGCTGAATGCTTGATAAGTCACTTGTGTGGGAATGCTATTAACTCTTTCTTCCCTCCACCTCTCCTTCTTCGTTGTTGTTTCTGGAATCTACCTCAGAGAGAAAGCTATTCACTCTATTCACTCTGTTAAACCGACATGTATATACATTGTGTGTTATAGAAACACATGGTTTGTGACCTTTTCACAGGCTTCCTAACATGATCTGGCGTTTATGTCTGTGAGGTAAAGTGGATTTTATCACAAGTGGACTGCAATTTTTTCCATCACCTTGGTGATTTCACACCTTGCGGGCCACATGATTTGGAGTACTTGGGAATTAAGCAGGAATGGGGCTTGGTGGTGAGACAGCCACTTAGACTGGAATGTGCTAAACAAGACACATGTGCACACACATACTGCACAATGTTAGTGGCAAACAGGAAAGTTGTGACAGACAGGAAGCATTCATCAGGATGGTGAGTTAAGAGTCCAGTTCAGTTCCTGTCTGACCCGTGTGTATTTGTAAGTGAGTGTGTGGTTTTGTGAGCAACAGTGTATACTATATGTGTCTCAGAGACTCCTGGTGATCAGTCACTATGGAAGGATGCTATTACCCCTTTAACACCCTACAAGACAAGGCTAAATGCCAGAGATGAAGGCCCTAAACACGACTGAGGGTCAGAGGTGAGGTAAGAAAGGCTTTCACAGACGAGCCACTGGGCACAGGGACTGGGAGGAGGACTTCATCCACAGAAAGACAGAAATAAAGGCAGAGCAGGATGCAAAACATTCCAAGACTGAACGTCTCCAGACAGTAGTATTTGTTCTGCATTGTTCATGCTCTTCCCAAACACAATATCCTGACTCACTGAATGGAAAATGGACAGTGGTGGCCATGAAACATACATAGAAGAACAGTAAAAGCACATTCCATCTGAATAAACACATTTTCATATTAACCATACACTTGTCCGAAAGAATTGGGGGCCAAAAATGAAAATTTATGCTGGGGGTCATAACTTTTATATAGTGTGGTAATAAGGATGTGGAAAGTATATGGATTCATGTATTAATGCTCATTGAAAGCTCATTGAAATGCTCAATTTAGTTGTGGTGCAGAGAGATCAGAGGGAGCATCATCTCACCTTCCTGGGCTTGACCTTGTCCTGGTGGTCATACTGAAAGATACCTTTATAGCTCAGACCCAACCACCATGGGATCCCCTGCTTGTCCTAAAACACACAACAAACAGAGAGAGAATGAAAAAGATTAATAGTATAGTAATAGTAAACAGAGACAAAGTACATTTGCTTTAAGCTCCATCCAATCTCCAAATCCAAACTGCCTGAGAGAGTGAACAAAATGTGTGTGTGTGTGTGTGTGTGTGTGTAAGGCAGAGTAGTAAAACTGTACCTTTACAGCATAGTAATGTACTCCATATGTGGGCAGAGACTCTACAATGCTCATATAACTGCGAGGAGCAGAAACACAGACATGTAAGGGTTACAGAGAACACATCCTTCTATACAGTGGACAAACACAACCAGGCACACACACACTTACTTTACAATAGCTTGCCCTCTGGACTGTCCATTGAGCTTCTTGTAATGCTCTATGACCCGGTCTTCACTGTAAGAGAGTAAAAAGGAAAAGGAGTGAAAATAAAAATCATTAAAAAGGTGAAAACAAGGAGAGGAGAGCTTGTGCTATGTTCTGGTGGTTTTCTGGATAACAGACTAGTCTCTCACCAGTAGGCCAGAGATGGGTGCTCCTTGAGGGCCTGGGTGGGCAGAGCAGGCAGCTTTTTCAGGTCAGACCTGGTTGCATCATTACTGGAAGGGAAAAACCACAAGACATGGTCAACAGTACTGCTGCAAGAAAGATCATTCTCCGCTGTAGGCCAAACAGTTTCATGCAAAAACTGACCACGCGATACCACTGAGCTGTAGAAAGATGAAAGCTTTAAATATTTAGCATAACAAGTTAAAGCAAAGCAGAGCATTTCCCAGAACTGTCTTAGAATTAAAATGTTAACTTTGGAAGAATGCGGAGAAAGGAACTACGTTCAGGGAAGAGAAATGAGTACTGATGGCCTAAATGTTTTCTATTTTCGAGACTGGGCACTGTCTATTTCTGAACAGCTGCAGAGACACAGACAGTCGGAAGCAGAGGAGAAAAAAGAGGGACAGAAACACAGACACAAGCATGAAAGATAAACAAAGACAGATAAAAGGAGATAAAAACAGCGATGGAGGAGGGAAAGATGAAGACAAAGACAGAGTAAATGAGACAGGGAACCACACAGAGCGCCGAAGAGACTTGGCCCCAGATTCAGTTTTCAGACCTCCAGTGGCAGGAGGTCTTAATACCCAACTATAATCCCTTAGCCTCTATCCAGCCTTTACAGAGGCCCCGGAGGATTGGGGAAAGCCCTGGGAACATGACAACCTATGAGCTAAAGCCCTGGAAGAGATCCATCCCATCCACCCTGCCCGGCTGTTCTCCAATGTCTGGACACAGCTGTGGACATAGATTTGTTGATATCCATTCAAGTAACTACTCATTAGGTGTGTGTCAGCATTACACATAATGAAGGGGCAGGCAAGAGCTCAACTGAACAAAAAATTACTCATGTGGCTTATACCACTAGCATCAAGAATATTACTCTTGATTTAAGGAAATTCTTGGACAAAATTGACTTGATATAAGAAATTATTTCACACCAAAAAGATCATGTCTCAAGAGTCAATAAATTAGTCATCGAAACGGGTATTTCTTTTAGAAGAGCAGCAGTGAGAGATAAAGTGAAACTTAATATGGAAGCCTGGTACAGTGTATGGTAATGAAGAGCTTTACAGAGGGCAGGGTCTACAGGGTCTTTTGAGAGGTGTGTGTGCTGGAGAAAGGGGTAAGGAAAGCGGGAGGAGGGTGAAAGGAATTCCTCCAGAGTGTGTCACATTCCAGCCCTCTGCGGGATATTGTGTTTATTTACTCCTTTCACCGGCGGAAATGAGGTCAGAGGTGATGACTGCTGTAGTCTGTTATCTGTGCTACAACAAAGGGATGAGGGGATGAGGGATGACACACATTTAGGCCAACATCACACAGATGTTCGCTTCAAGAACCACATGTGGGCCGTAGCTCACATGTAACATGTACATGACTGTAAAGCTCCAGGATTTAACTAATGTAAGTTTAAAGGCTGATACTTTTGCTAATATTTTGTGAACTGAACAGCTGGCCATTTTTTTTATTCATATTAAGAAATATTTCATGTCCCAATAGTGAACTCTGTCTTAAATTGTCATCACACACACATACACACACACACATACATGCAATCCATGTGTTTCTAATGAGTGGCAGCACAGCTTGAAAACGAGTGAACAAAAGTGGAACAGGGATGGCAGGAAAGAAGGAGGGAGAGATGTAAATCAGGGGAACAGACAAACCACTGATATCATCTTTGTTGTCCCTCTGTCTGTGCCTCTCCCTTCTGAATCAACATGTATTAACGCAACTACTCATGTCACTAGGGAGGCGACGTAGCAGATGACACAGAATATTTGAAAATAAAAATTGGAATGGTAGAAGATTGGGTCATCCATCCAGTACACAAACGAATTAGTGTCAAGACGCTTTGTTGTTTTAGGTCTGCTGTGTGGCAGCATGTTGGATTTTCAATTAGGAAAACAACAGCAATACAACTAAGAGGATAAAGACGGGAAAGAAAGAAAACTTGGCCTTGAAAAACAACAACATGCACTACAATGATTGCTACAAAGCAATATATTGCACATGAGTCCTCAACGTGGTTTCAAGGGCCATGTGAATGTTGTGGTCTGTCACTGCACTCCCTTTTATGAGGGAGTTTTCTTGGGTTGGACCAACTTGATTACAGTTTTGATTTCCCAGTGAGTGAATCTGGTGTAAAGGTCACCTCCTGATCAAAAATGACCTAATCCACAGGCTTAAATGGAGACGAGGTTCATCATAATCATAATTAACTTCATACTGATTTTGCTCATAACATCATGACAATCTAAAACAAGGAGACAAGTGGATATCTCCATATAAATGGGCTGCTGAGCAAGAGAACAAGATGTTTTCCTCTACATATTCCTTATAGTTGCCAAAAGGGAGGAGTCTAATACGCTTTTACATTGTAGCACCATCACTCTTAATCAAAACCGTGACCTGTCCTCTTAACACTCGCGGCTACAGGGACGGATGCATATGTACATTACATATGATGATGACTTGTGTGCTTACCTGGTGAAATCACCTTTAGCCTCCTGTTGAACAGAAAGGGAAAGAGGGAAAGTAGTGAGAGGACAATTTACCCATACGGATATGTGACCATAAAATAGGTGTGTAAGTTCAATTTGCATAGGTGAACATGCAGTCAGGTCTGCTGCTCTGGAAAGAGAGAGAAACATTAAACCTCCACTTGGAGTGGAACCTCTGAAGGCAGATACCTGATACTGTGCATCTGCACCTACATGGAGGGCACATGCACTCACACAGAAACACACACACACGCGTACAGACAAACCAATCGGCCCCGTCTAGGTGTAACATGACCTTGCAGTTAATGGACTAACCTACTCTGAGAAAGGGATGGGAGAAAGAAAGTGCTGGAGCTGAGGAGAAAAAACAGACATCTGGACAGACATCCACTCCCACACATGCACACACAAACAAACACGCTCCATCTTACTTGTAGAATATAGGAAGCCAATTCGAAAACAACATCACTGTCCACTTCAATAAGCTCCTGCAATGAGAGGAGAAAAGAGAAGAGAGAACAGGGGTCATGAATGATACAGACATTCTGCTGGCATCAAGTAAATAAAATACACACTGTGCTGATGTTCGGGAGGAAAAGTGGACGTGCCTCTGATCATCATCCACTTCTCCAAGATGGCTTGGTGGTTCCTTTCATCTCCCAACCACTCCCCCTCTGTTTTTCCTCTCTCCCTTCTCTAATTTCATGACCTCTTCATGTGGATGGAGCTCGGAGATTAGAGGCAAAGTGGAGGGGGTTGGGAGAGGGGGTTTAGGGGTTGAGGGTAGGCATGGATGCTCTGGTTACTGACTACGTAGAACATTTTCCAAAGGTGTTTTTGTTTAAGTTGCATTACTGTTTTCTTCTGAGTTTCTGAGTAAGGGGATGGAGAAGGAAGGAGGCAGAGAGGTGCAAGCATGGATGATTTAATGTCCCTGTGTATTAGAGATTTTGGGCTGCATTGAAATGTCTTTAATGGCATGATAATTAGTGTTGGTTTGTGTTATGTACTTACACATTCACCAACCATGTGCTTATATATATATACACAACTATGCTCTGTGTGCATCGAAGGGGGGAAGGATAAGGGTTGGTGGGCAGTGAGTAGTGGGTCAAGTATGCCAGGAATGTTCCCTTCACAATCCACCTCTTAATTGGTTGAGAGATCAGAAAGCCAGGATGAAACACTAGACAGAACTAACCCACCCTGGGTGGTACATCAAGGGTGGCTACCAATCGTTACACAATGTGTGTTTTTGTACTGTATGTATTCCCACAGCCTGCCAGAAAAGCTTTCTCACAACTTCCCGAGCTACTATGTTGTATCTACTGAAACATGTTTACTTAATAGGCTATGTAATATTTCTTCTCTTGCTGCCTTTTTATGCCTGTGTCCCTTTGGGGTCATCAGGGTCATCTATCACTGGAGCTGGTAGGGAGATCATTTGTACTTCACACTGATGTTCTTGTCAGGGGTGATGTGGGATAAATGGCCAGATAGGAGTCAGCCATCTTCTTCAACTGAACCAGATACTTTCTGTTTGTGGGAAAGTCTCTCTCTGTTACCGTTATGATCACCGCCATTCAAGTTTTGCTAATTAGGGATGGGAATCGAGAAATTGTCTGAGCCATTGGCATCATAAGCCCCAAAGGTGATCACTTCCTTTTATTGATGCCTGCATGTTCTTCAGCGCCAGGTGGCCCTATATGCTCAATACGCAAGTTGCGTAAGGATCTGCAAATTACACTAGGGCAGCACCTCCTCCTAGTGTTAAAGCTGGTGTCAAGGTTTACAACTACAATGAGAGGATGAAGCAGAACTATCCTTCTGGAAAAGGAAAAAAACAGCATAGAAGAGCTTTTCTTCCACTCCAAGTTTGATGTCAGCAAATAACAACAATGTTAAGATGATGTGCATCGGTCTCTGTCTGTCTGTCTCTCTAATCTAGCTGGGCAGTGCCTCTCTCCTGCTTACCAACCACTTCCAGGACAGTTTTGTGACTTTGTGCCTGATAAAAGTTAGAGTGAAACATGAGTATTTATTATGTTTGAGAGTCTGTAACAACTTGGCTTAACCTATAGAACCTTAAGCCTCCAAAGTAACTAAAGGTTTGTTTTACTATTTCACAACATTAGATACAGAAGGATCCCCTTAAAAAGCTCTGTACTATATTGAATATGCATTCCACAAACATGATCAATTGAAAACTTCAAACACTACAAGTAAGAAATGCTAGCTCTTTGTTTATTCATTGATGATACACTGTATCAAAATTTACTAGTCTTGGATTTGATGAAATTTATTGCCACTTTTACTGGGACATTTCTGTGCAATTATTTTCTTTAAGGCCACATGCGCCCTCTTCTGGACATAACAACTGCTTGACATTCTACACAAACCAGACACAAACCAGACTACAACTCACTACTATTAGCAGAACATGAACCAATTAACTGAATAAGACTGTCTCCTCTCACTTTAAACAATCATACAAATAGCCTTCTCTGAATGGGATGTTTTAAGTCACTAAATGTACAAAATACATTTACCTAATACTTCTATGTGCCTTTTGTCTTTTTGCCTTTTGCCTAATTTCACTGTTATTTAAACAACCCAAATAAATATGCTTCCACACTGACAGATGGCAGCAAATGTGTCAAATTATTCACTAGTTGCAGGAATATGGTGCAGCACATAACATGATGGGTAACAGCTGATGCAAATGGTTCACATTTTCTGCTTCACCAAATCTGTGTGGAGCACCGAAGTCCAAGCTGGCCTCTTGGGGCGTCTCTTCATTTAGAACCAAAAGTGGGCTAATAAAGTGTCATGTTTCTAACAACATGAATGCCCATACTTCACAGAAACATAGAGTTCTAGCCCAGAAGCAAACCATGGTTTTAGATACAAAATTTCAAAGTATCCCAACTGCCCACATTTGCAGCACTTCAGAATAAGCAAAACATTCCTCCACTGTCACAAGTAAACTGTGTTGGCAATAAATATTACAGAAACAAAGTAATGAGTTTACCTTGTAGATGATCGACTTGGCATTAAGAAAAAACAGCTCAATAGTGGCATTGTCCTTCAGGTAGGATATACTCTCTATGTAGAATCTGAAAACATAGAAGGAAAAGCCTCAATACATTTGCAACAGCAAAGGTTACAAGGGCATTAGTTGACCTTGAATCCTAAAAGGAATCCTATAAATCCTATAAAGTAGATCAGTGATGTATTATGTTTTTGCTTCACAAACAAAAAGAACAGATTTAACATGCAGGCTATGACTGATGTGACAGAAATGGTGCAATGACCAAAGTGGCCAGAGGGGGGCACACCATACCAAAGGCTGACCTGTATACCAACGTCCTTTCACTTCCCCTTAAACCAGTTCTCTCTCTCACCATGGCGGCTGGCAATGATCCACTATTAGTTTGTAAGTGTGCGCACATTCCACAATCTGAATGTGCATGCGTGTGTGCAAACACACACTCACAGGCAGATTGAATGTGCACATGATGCACTTCACACATTGTCTACCTCTCTGCATCATCAGCAGTGTGTACTGATTCCACATGCACATACAGTACTAACACACACACACACACACACACACACACACATACACACACACACACACAGTCACATACTGGAGAGAGAAGCACAGTAACCCACTTCTCCAGAGCGGCGAGCAGAGAACTAACATAATAATGCAGTCTAAATTTAGCTCATGAATGCATGCAGAGCCAGAGGGGAGCAAAGATGATACAGTAGGAAGCTACTCATTGTTAGCTCCTCTCTGGTGGAAATGTACATTAAAAAGGTGCTATATAGTACAGATACTCTCATGTGTCCCCTGACTTATTTTTTGGTGATATCTTTTGTAAAAAGAAAAAGAAAATTGCATAGTAGCGAATCGATATATAGTTACATGAAACACTCGGTATATGACTTGATATATCCCTGTAAGAGTGCTTAATGTGACCTAAGCACATGTTCCTATGAACATACTTAAAATTAATGTGTTCATGTGCGTGCATATGAGTGTGTATAGGTATTGAGTGAGAGGGATTGTAGGAAGATCAATATTGGATGGCTTAAATCGTGTTACCCATTGAGCTGCAAGAGAGAATGAGAGGAACCTTGTCAATATTCAGTGTGAACATTTAATTAAAGCCACAGTGTTGATGAGACATACACGCACACTGCCAGCAAAGCAGCAAGCAAATGCAAAAAGGCACCCACTGAATCAGCAGGAGGTGGGCATCTGCCTAGCATTTACTGGGAACACATGCATCACGCAAATACCACATAAGCATGCAAACATATGAAGTGAATGCACCTGCACAGAGAGACACACCTACACACAAACACAAAACACAAAAAAAACTAATATTGTGCTAATGAAAACAATATGCTCAGACTGATAATGGATTCAGGTCTGACATTTGGGCTGATTGTTGTTCCATTACAGCCCTGAAACTGCATACGTGTGTGTGTGTGTGTGTGTGTGTGTGCGTGTGTGTGTGTGTGTGTGTGTGTGTGCATGTGTATGTGTATAAGAAGTAAGGTAAGGATGTGTGTGTGTATCAGAGAGAGAGAGAGAGAGAGAGAGAGAGAATGAGAAGGTGGGGTTGGGGGGTTGTGGGTGCAGTCAGTGTGACATTTGGATAGATTGAGGTGAAAGATTGGGCTGAACTGCAGGAGAGAAATGGGGCGATGAAGCCTCAAAATGGTGTCAAAGTTCACAACGTCACAGCGCCAACACCACATCCTCAAACACCCATTAGTCTATGCAAATACACACACGCTGACCCTCACCCTGACCACCCCACCACCTCCTCCACAGACCCACACATGCACAATTGTTTTATATGTTTCTATATCTAAGATAAAGACAGGGAAATTGACATCAGTTAAACTCATCAAAAATTTTGGAGATGGTCAAAATAGCAGTGATAGTAACCAAATATACTTATCTTGCATCTTTTGATAGCATCACTGTCACATTGTACAATGATGCCATTGTTCATTAATCAGGGTGAACAATAGGTCTATGTGCTAAGGATATGATTTCGATATATACAGCCGTGTCATTGTGTCATTACTTGAGCCGTGTCGTAAATGTCAACTGGAAATGACTACTCAGTGACATTGTTTAGTAGCATTAATGTGCGTCACGTTACTATGTACGTTGCTAACCAAGTCTCAGTCCCTGGGGAGTATATGACATCATCGAGATATGTTGGGGACAGAGAACAACCACTGAGCCCTTAACAAAGCCTTGGCTTTGCCTTTTGGGTTCTCACTGAGAGAGCCTATGTGTGTGTGTGTGTGTGTGTGTGTGTGTTTTGGGGCAGAGAGTGGGTTGGGAAGGCTGTGCGTTTTCATTTGAGACTAAGAAAGATCAGAAAATCTCTTCTCAGGTCAGGTGCCTTTCTTTTTCAATAGCCGATTGAAGATAAAGCAACCACACTCACACACAAAAAAAAACAAAACAAACACAAACATGCACTCTCTGTATTTCTGTCACATCTACAAACATGATCCAGTGCTTGTGTGTGAGTCAGGAGTGTTTTATATATGAGTGGCACCATTGTATGAGCAGTACAAAGGGCTTGGAGAGGAGTGTGGGACTGTGGGGTTATTTCACAACCCTGTCAAAACAGGTCATAGAAGACTTGGCTTTTGACTGAGGAGATGACTCTAATGCAGCAACAGAAATAATAAGAGCCCACTGCAAGCGCACATGCCTCATCACATGTTGAATTAAATACTAGAATATTTTCCACCCTGTTTAGCATTACATTCACAAGTGAGAACTGTTTTTCTCGAATTGCTTCTCCATATAAATCCACAGAAATTATAAGGCTCCTCTCCCTATGGGAAAGCGTGCTGCTGTCTTCTTTGGAGTATGGCACTTTGTAGTCACCGTAAGGCTATGTGATGGGATTTGCATGTAGCGCATACTGATGAGGTCTAAGAGGCACATGATTGGCTGAGAGGCCCCTGTGGCGGGAGTTAAACACTGGGGTCAAAGCAATTTCATAGGGGCCTGTCATAACTAACCTTGTTAATCTGTTCCCATTACCACATGAATGCATGTGCATAAACAAATACATATGCAGACGCACTTTCTCCATCTTCCTTTCTCTCTTCAATTTACATTCAAACTCCAATAAGAGACCATGGTATGTGTAAATGAGGTGATTAAGTTACTGAAGGAAAAACTCACCTGACACAGAAGTAGAGGACGATGGGACCAGACTTCTTGGGGAACTCATGTTCTAATACCCTGCGGTCCAACTGCAGCCAACTAAAATGACCCCTGATGAGAAAAAAGCACAAAACAATCAATCAGTGCTATTGCCAATGGATGTCTGAATATCCAACAAGGACACACAAAAACTTAATCTCATGACATTTAATATTTCCTCATTTATCTGTTACTATTCCTTCCCTTCTATTTTCCCCCACTTCTTTCCCCCTCTCCTCCCATTTCTCTCTCCCTCTCCAACAGAGAGGAAAACTGCAGAGACAGCTTGTCACCCTGGTAACCCTACATGGTCTCCTGAGCAACTGAGCAACATCTCTCTCAAAGTCGCCCTCCTTCTGTCTGTGTCTCTCAATCTCTCTCCCTCTTTTCCCCCCACACAGTCTCTGACCACTGAGCAGTCAGATCTGAGGCGTCTGCTCTCCCCAGGCACACCTTACAAATCTACACACCATAGAATTAGCCCTGGGGGACCAAGACTGCAAAGCTGATATTTCTTTTCTGGACTGACATTGGTTACAGAATCTGTCACAGCTGTGTAAATGCCATAGAGCAGTGGCCAGTCTTGCTTGACATCATTGGGTGCATGAGATGAAACAAAGAAGAGACACATAAAGGCCATGGAAATGTTTGCTTCCATGTAAATCATTTGTATGTCTGCATGACTAGTTCCGGACTATCATGTTGTGGTGCTTCTGTCTTTCTAGGTCACAAAACAGTAAAGTCAGTTTTGCATTTCAAGCACAGTTCTCATAACAAGTCCTCTGGCAGACATAGCCTCATAACCTTTTGCTAGTGTATAAGTTATTAGTTACCAACATAGTTACCGCAATAGTTCAAACTATGGTTTTGGGAAACATTTGCATCGCAACTGCATGGTTGCAACTATTTAAGTTGATAACATATTTAGCAACTATTCTTTTGGGAAACAGGCCCCAAAGCAAGATCATCATAACCTCATCCTAACATCACAACCCTAGTGTGATATTCATAATGATCATGAATCTTTGTTTTGACCAGAATGAAGGTTTGTGTGAAAAAACCTTTTATTTGGAAGTTAAAACCATAAACAGGATATCTAGTTTTTTTAAATTTTAACATTTTTAAATCTAAGAGCCAATTCATATCTAAATATGTCAAACAAAACAACAACAAACACAGTTAAGTATACAATACCAGACTGTAAATTCCTCAGGAGAAAAACAGGCTAAAACCAAAAGCCACATTTTACTGCAAGATTTCTGAGACTATATTTAAAACTAAAACAATGTTCTGGCAACTGGAGTTATCATAGTGGCACTTTTGTACATGGTGCAGCATCTTGCTAATGTTAGCTCTAAATATTTGACAATAGCTCTAGCCTTTTCAACAGGTTTTGGATTTCTTTACCAATGCTAAAAACATCAATTAATGAGCACATGCAGTTTAAGGTGTAGTCATGTGAAAACATGACCAGCACAACTGGTTGCATGCTTAACTTTAATACCTACTTTGCCTCTTGTCGACTTCTACGTTGCTTTAACAATTCCACTGATAGAAACTGAGACTGAGTATCCAAACAGGAATTAAAATATTAACAGTCTGGATGTGGTTACAGTGCTATGGGACAGCACTGACAAACCCATTCCAACAAACAAGAGAAAATGAAGAAATGGGTTCTGGGTACTGGTGCACTGTACTTTTCAAAGGCTTTAATATTTGAATGTGACTTACGTTTCGTCTGTGTATGCAATTCCAAAGTACTCCTTCTCCTTGAGGTTGAAGTGAGAGGCCACAAGGTCCAGCAAATCCTTAGCCATCAGCTTGGGCTGCAGGGAGACAGACACATTGGTATTGCTCTCCTTATGTTTGGATATAACTTGTCTTGTGTATGAGTGTAGTGATTTTTCACACTGTAGCTTAATTGGAGCAAGTACATGTGGTAGAGTTTTATGTTAATGTATTCTATCAGCTATTGATTTACTGCAATGACTAAGCATTCTGACAAACACTGGGGAAAAGAGCAAGAGAGGAGGAGATAAATGAGAGAGAGCGCGTGAGAAAGATGGATAGAGTGTGTGGATGTTGCTGACAGTGCAGGTACCCTGCCCTTCCCCTCCCTCTCTCCTTTCTGCCTCTCTGACCCACACCTCTACTGCAGAGTCATGGCTCTGGGCTGAACGACTGTATTGCAGGGAGAGGGCTGCAGCTAGCACAAGAGTTTGCTAGCGAGTTAATACTGTCTGGGCTATACTGTATGTGATGACAAGCTCCATTCATCACAATGCTCAGAGCATGCAGAGCATCTTAAAGCCAAGCAGAGGCCGGGGACTGGTGCCATATGCTGCTGGTTTGTGACATCCTGGGTAACAGCAGCACGCCCCACCCTGAGGTTAACCATGGGTGTGCCTCGCTGCCTACAATTTCATTACAAACACAAATGTTCATGCATATATGCACACATGAGCCCATACACAGAATGCATATAATCCACTCACAACATACAGGAGGAATACATGTGTTGCACAGTATACATACAAGATAGAGGAGGACAAGAGGAAAACATACTATGTGTACCTAAATATGAACACACACACACACACACACACACACACACACACACACACACACACACACACACACACACACACACACACACACACACACACACACACACACACACACAACACACACACACACACACACACACACACACACAGTATAGAACTATCATATATTTTCACCCAGTGGTGTATTAGTGTGCACATTCTTAATAATCTCCTCCTGAGGTCCTGTGCTATCTGATCACTGCAAAGCTACAACTTCAGTGACAGAAGCTACTAAGGCTATTTTAAGCGAAGGAGGTGATGTCATGCAGACAGCAAGCATACACACACACACGCGCGCATGCACGCACACACACATCTCCAGTGACCTAGATCTCATATAAGCGCGACGCCTACAGTGATCCTGCTACACAAAAAGGCTCTGGAGAGAACAGAAACGATAGAGAGAGCTCGAGGAGAAGCTAACATATAGGTTGATTGTGCCTTCTGATATTCAAATCCAAATAACTTATAAACCAGATGATGATAGAGAACTAGAGAACAACAGGGATACTGTGCTAGATGATTCGGTCGCTGTGTCCCTTTGACATAACTCTGCTACTGTCAAATGCATATTTACATTAACAATCATATACTCACCTCTCTTAGCAAAGAACATGTTAATTTAGTATTTACTCTATGGTTAAATGTAGTTTAACATATCACGAGCAGTGATTGAAATGCTGACCTGAACTATGTTTAAGTTCTGATCTGTCTGTATCTGAAAAAATTGGTAGTCCCATCTACAAGGGCTCTTACTGGCTGTGTTGTTTCTCCAAGTGGGAGAGCAGCCATTCATGAGTGCAACACAAGGCCCCTTTGAAGCGCTGAAAACATTTTAGATGTGGAAATTTTAGGTCTAGTAACAAGCTATCTTTATAGTATTAGCAGTAATGCATGTTTTGGTTCAGTCTGAGACACATTACAGTGGTGGTCTCTTATTACCCCACAGCAGTCAACTGTCTTGGCAACAATATCAATTAAACATCATCCATGCCACTGCAGCATAACAAACAATTAGCTGGGGAACAGGGACACGTGGACACTTATAGTAAACTGCTGGAAAGATGATATGGAGATAAAAATAAACCCCAGATACACCGTTAAATATCAGAAACGTATGACTGAAGATGAAAAAGAACAAGGCAAGGATTTCTGTAAGGTTAGGCTGAGCTTCTTCTCTCAACATTGTTATGAATACCAAGCAGACTGTAAAAATCACATGGGCTGCACTGGATAGTATAATTGAGTTAGGCTCTCTCTTCAAGTGACGACTCACCCTCTCCTCACGCATGCACATATCCTGACACTATACAGCCTATCTGTGAGATGGAAGATACAGAACGGATGTGTAATAATGTTGTGGAAGATACCAATAGTGATAGACACAATGAATGACAGGTAATATAGTAAGTGATATGGCACACTAAACACAGACACACAATATTAAAGACACACACACACACACACACACACACACACACACACACACACACACACACACACACACACACAGTATGGAGCCATCTATCAGACAGTAAAGCTCTCTCTTAGCTTAGACAGCATTACTACTAATAGACATTTAGCCTGTGCCTCCTCAGCAGCACAGGTAATTAACAGCATAAGAGTTACAAGGAGGTGCTAGTGAGGCGGAGACATGCAAGAGCAAACCCACAGACAAGTGACAAACACACAACAGTAGCTCACCGGCCTGGCTGGCAGCAAGTCATGGCCCAATCTCTGCAAACAGCAAGTCAGGCCCTGGGCACCTTCAGGGTTGTTCAGATTTATGGGACACTAACTGATTTATCAGTGGCAGTCCTTACAGTCCAAGGTTGGGTAAGGAAAAGGCGCTTAGCCACATGCCTTTCATTAATTGTATCATTTTTTCCCCCTTAAAGTCTGGTTTTAATATTTTAACTAGTATTTTGTATACAGACATGTGCTGCAGCACTTCTCATTCATGGTAAGTGTCTCTTCTATTTGATGTAGAGTCATTCACATTGGCATGGAAGCTTAAAACCCCATTCACTCTTTAGCCTTCACCACTCTAGCATTAGGGAATAGCCATAGCCATATGACTGGCATATATTTTCACCCAATGATGTATTTGGTGGTTAGCTTCAATCTTTACAACCTGGTCAATAGGTGTGTTAGCCCTCTGGCACATAGTTCCCTGCCAATGAGGCGTTGCTCCATAAACAGACCACAGAGGACACGCTATCAAAGGTAAGAGGAAGGGGATAAGGAAGAGGAAAAAAGTGAACAACACTTCTGGGATTAAACAGCTGGTCAATGTTACAAGCCAGTGACAGAAGTGAGATCCAGCCTTTCAGAGGCAAGCTAGCTGGCTCGCTGGTGCACTTGGCTTGGCGACAGGAACTTAAATGAAAACCTCAACGGGACAGACTTGACCACAGTGCTGTTAAATGATCAGTGAAGACATGAAATAGCCCAGTGGAGCGTGTAATACTGGAGCACTGCCTTAATATTTGAGAAACACAACTGTTTGCACTGCTTATGAATTATGATCATCCCTTCAAGAAATCCTTTTTTTTGTGCAAATGAGTGGAGGACTTGACTGCTTCTTAGTTGACTGGAAAACTAAGAATAACACTGTAATTCTCTGTGGTCCTACTAACAACTCACTGGCCTACTGTGCATCCGCCCAATGGAGACGCAAGGACAGAGAGCGAGAAAAAGAGATAGAAAGTCAACAGTATCCTGATTTAAATGGCAGCGATTTGTTAATAACATCCCCTCTTCCTGCCTTCTTGTCATGTCTTCTCTCTTGCTAATACCATTGCCAAACTGTAAAAATACCATTTGCTACCACTGTGTATATTATGTCATAAACAGAAAAGATTTTCTCACCTACAACTTGTCTTCAAGTACCTGTAAAACTCTTTACCTAAAACAGAGATCCCTGTAATGTTTTTATTTGACTCTTCAACTCTCTTCTTGTTTTTTTCTGTGTTATTTCCTTCCCTGATGGCCAAGCGGATGAGAGGATGAATTGGTGAGGAGATATGGAGCTGCTGTGGTTGTATTTGGAGATTTAGAAGGAGACACAGCCAGGGAAAGGCAGGTAAAGGCAAGCAAGAAGCCGAGTGAGAAAACAAGATATGGAGGGTGAAGAGTGGAAAGTCAGAGAGATGGAGAGAGAAAGAGAGAGAGAATGGAAGAGGAGCAGAAAGAAGTACCACTTTAAAAGAGAGGATCAGTTCTGGCAGAGTAATCAAATCAGAAAGTCAGCAGACCTTTCCTCGGCTCCCCCTCCATTTTCTCCTCTCTATTCCCATCCCTTTAGTGTCATCTCATGTCTCTCCATTTCTGAGCTCTCATCTCGCTTTTCCCTCTCCCTCTCAATCTCCTGAGTTCCTGCGTCAGTCTTTCTACTCTCCACTTGCTCCTCTTCTCCTGTTCCAGGGCAATTAACTTCTTTTGTCTTCCTCTCTTTCCAGAGGAATCGAGTAATGAGCAGACCCAAGAGGAGCTTGGGAGGTTAAGAAGAGTGGAAAGAGCTTCGTACAAAAATGCTTCGATACATGAAGCCAAACCATGAAGGGATTTTACAGATGACCGAAATGAATGTCATCAACAATCAATGAAGAGGAGAGGAACAAATGAAGTGAGAAGTTACTACACAGAGTGCCACACAATTTATAAAAAATTAAAAAATCCCCACCTTATGTAATGTGTGTTGTAAAAGACATTATGCAGGGTAGGGTTTTGAAATGGCCATTGGTCATTACTGCAGAAAGGCCTGCTGGGACGATTGAAGGCTGAATGTAGGGGGAAGGGGGCAGCATGCTGCTTTGTTTTTCCAAGACATTTGGAAGATGCATCATTTTCAACAGACATACAGATAGACAGACAAGCAGTCAGACAAACAGATGTTTAGATTACTGAGGCATTCTGGGGGATAAGGAGCAATGGTGGGTGAATAATGACCTCATGAAGCATGAGTTTAGGGCCAGTAAAGGTTTTTGTTTAGGATATGATTGGGGCTGCCCTCTGTTTCTCAATGCATAGCTTCTACAGAGAGAGCATATTAGGGCAGGGTCTGCTGCGCTCAAGCGCATGTGTGAATCTGTGTGTGTGGAGAGATCAGGTGAACATCAAGAAAGCGCAAAGTCACCAACTGCTGACCACATTTTCCTTGGTCAGCAGTAATCGGGTCCCTTAGGACAACAGACATCTCTTCTCCCTCGCTCTAAGGAAATCAGAGTCTGCAAAGAGAGAAGGAGGAAGGAAAGACAGAGAGAGAGAGAGAGAGAGAGAGAGAGAGAGAGAGAGAAAGAGAGGGAAGAGAGACTCACCTGTACAAGGAGCTCCAGCTTCCTGTCGTCCAGGAGATGGACCTGACATCGCCTCCCCTCTGTCATCTGAGAAACAGAGAAACAAAAGACAAGGGATGCTTGTTAATATGTATTACATATTACACGGACACAGATCAAAAGCAGACTTTTGTATAGGTATCCACTGATGCCAAGCATATGAAGAAAACTACTTAAATTTCCAAATAACTCATATATTCATATATTCCCAGTTCATCAAATCAAAGAACAATGATGCATCCCCACATCCATCATGTACAGGAGACTTGGAGTCTTAACAAGGTTAGCTGAGCTAACTACACACAATGAGCCAGTAGAGACAACATCTTGCGCTGAAATTTCTAACGTTCCTCCTTGAGCAGGAAATCCATTATCCATCAGTGGACTTCAATGACCACAGTGAGCGAAGCTGCCTGCTGTCAGTGCTCACTCGAGTGTTTGTCTGTGTTGTTGATACAAGGTTTGCAGAATAGAGCTGCAAAAAAAAATATCCAATCTATCCATCTGCCAAGTTCATCCGTAAACAATGAAGCAGGTGCAATGATGAAACAGTCAACTGTGGGAACAATGTGCCACAAATTAGACCAAACATTTCACATGACAGACAAAGCCATTTCTCCAAACCTGTCAGAGAGTTTGCTACTGCATGATTAAATATAAACAAATACAAGACTAAGGATTAAAACTCACGGCAGAAATCGAGTTAGACTTCCAAAAAAAGATGTACAAATTGTGCCAGAGTGTTCTGCATGTGTATGTTTGTGTATGTGTGTCTGTGTCATGGTGTTTTCGGCACATGTGGAGTTTCTGGACGATTCAACAGGAAGCGGGGACCCTGAGGAACACAAACACCCCATGGCTCCTCCCACACTTCCCTCACATCTGGGAGATGGGGGAAGAGAGGGTGGTGTGTGTGTGGGTGTGTGGAGGGGTGGGGTGTAGGGGTAAGAAAAGTTGGAGAAGAAGGAGAGAGAAGTGAAAGAAGGAGCGACATTCTCGTTGTCAAACATTCGATGAGAACTCCCATCAAAGCACAAATGCCATAAACATGAGCACAAGCGTAACCGGTTTGTAATTCTTCACCATGAGAAGGATCATATTGGCCACCTGAGGCTCTAGCAATTTGGTAAGGGTGTGTCCACAACATAAGTATAGCATACACCTACTTTCTCACCACTCTAGCTGGCATTGAGGTGGCAGGTTGGAGGTGAGAGTTTAGCAGAAAGCTGAAGACACCAGAAAAAGAGAGGGAAAGAAGTGACAGAGTTGTGTCTCAACACTCATCCCTGTGTGAACTCTGCTGAATGACTACTGGTGTGTGTGTGTGTGTGTGTGTGTGTGTGTGTGTGTGTGTGTGTGTGTGTGTGTGGCTTCTAGCTACTTTGAGGGATTCGGTTTACCCTCCCACTCACCATTGATCTCCTGTGGTTTGAGGGTTTAGATTGGGTGCACCTGTGCACACAGTCAGTGACACACACACCCTTACATTTTCCAGCGTTGCTTTTTGTTTTCATCTCCTGTCTGGAGTTACATTACCTTTCCAAAACTTTCCATGTTTATACTGTATACAGTAATTTTAATTACTACCATGACTACTAAGTCAAAGTGGTAGGTCAGTGGTGCAAACACAAGTCATTATAACCAAATGTAGATAATACAAGAACGGTTGGTGCAAAGTTACTAGACTGTTTGCAAACATATAATTTCTGAAAACATTGTGCTGGTTAAACTAATCTTTCTCCATTATCTCCATCACTGAGTTTGGACACGTGATAGAAGAGAAGACAGGACTACAGTACACTGACTAAAAACATCCTACGAAAGTATCTTGTCTGCAGAATACTTTAAACTGCAATGCAGAAAGTGTATACACACACACACACAGACACAAATACACACTCTCTCACTGGCACTCTGCTTGAGGCACCTGGGAATAGTACAAACCTTAATGTCAAGGTAACAAATCACTGCCTGCAGGCTAAAATTAGGCAGCCCAATCTGGCATAGACAGACGCTTATTGGTTTTAGTCATAAAATTCACTTTGTGGTATTGGACATGCTACTGAGTTTCTATCCGCCATGAAACCAAATGTACTATGGTTTCTATTAATAGCTTGTTATCATTAAACAGGGGTTTAAAAAAACGTAAGAAAATGTGGAGTATTTCAAGTTAATGTAGTGTTCCTGCTCCATGAGTGAGTTAAGTGATGTACAGTTCATATTATTTATAATGAGATAAGTCTTCTCAAAATCACTGGATATATTTACAGCACCACAATGAGCTCTAACGTATGTTGTAAACATTATATTACAATGCAGTCAGGATGACAGAAATCTGGCTGAAATCACATGAGGTGTAGTCCTGGTGTGTGATTCATGCTCTATGTTTCCCACCAACATTTCTGACCTATTACTAGTCAGGTTTGAATTGGCTAACCTAACTACCTCCTCAGGCCTGACTCACCGGCAAGAAGCGGAGAGATTAAAAGAGATGAAAATGAAGAATGTAACCCGACACTACAGTGTAAAGCAGCCATGTTCACAACGTCTCATTATTTCACCAAAATTACAGAGGTACACACAAACAGACAGTTGACAGTGATGCCTGGTCAGTGCTTGCAACGGCAGTGACGTTATCATTAGTTAGTTACCTTGCAAACAAACGCTTCCTACGAGGCTCCCACACAGAAAAACGGCTCCAACACAGAGACAAAAAATTAAAATAAAAAAAAAAAATCCGAATTATTAATCCCAGAAAGACACGAGTCGTGTTACTGCCAGAAAATCATCAAAAAACACCCCTTTTCCCGGCCGGCCTAGGGGAGGAGGCACATCAGCATCCATGTTAGTGACCATTAGTTAGTTAGAAGCGACGCAGCTCGCTGTATATCCTCTGTATCCTCTACACACTACAGAGCCGTTATGTCTCATATCCTTGCCGTTCAAGCTACAGATAACTCGGCGCTGATTAACGGCGACCGTGAAGCGTTTTCCAGGGCTGGCTTCTCTCTCATCCCTCCTTCCGAGAGCAGAGAGCTTCTCACACGGGTCTAGTCCCGGTCGACCACAGCTCACCCGTCACTCCACCTCTCCCACTCCCCCTTTTCGCTACCGGCACCGTGCACAAACGGTGTGTGAACGTGCGGATAGCAGAGGACCGTACCAACGGTCGGCAACCGAGGGGGACGACCGGAAGAAATGGGTAACAGTCGACCGTATTCCAGACTGCCCTCACTTGCCAGCTATGTTTCTCCCTGTCACCGGAGTTGCTTGGAAAACACGGGAATAATGGAGGCAAGATGTGGGGGCGGGGAGAGGAGGGGATGAGGGGAAATTTTCTGCAGCAGCTCACAGCCATGAGAAACTGCAGACCTCTCTCTCTCCCTGTGTGTGTGTGTGTGTGTGTGTGTGTGTATGTACTTGTGCTTACAAACCCAAACAGACATCCGTGTCTGCAGAGCACACGAATAGTCTGCCGTTAAAAAACGACTGATGCACGGCTGATAAATAACAATGAGCAGTGATCAGTCTACAAATCAGCTGCACTTTCATAAACATTACTTTGTGGGGGAGGAAGGGTTCCCTTCAAAGACTCTATCCTCATATGACTTTGACCATAATGTAACATATTAGACCAATAATGTGCATTTTGATAGATGTCCATAAGCCTGAAATGGTTAGATGGTAATCTATTTTGAAACAAAATAGATGAGTTTCATTTGGATCTCTCTCTCTCCAGCTTGTCACTTCCTGTCTGCACTTTTAAACACAAACCTCCCTGCTCTCAGGTTTGGCTTGCTTCAATGATTTCTGGCCGTCATTCCACTGCAGCCGTTGGACTGACTCTCTCTCTCTCTCTTTTTTTTTTTGTATGACCTAAATTGGGCACTTGTGTTCACCTTACACAGCTGGAGCAGCAGCCGTTGAAACCACAAGTTGTTAACATAACAAAATCATTCCAGTTTTTGGTACCATAAATAGATACTAATGTGTGCTGTGAAGGCAGGGATAAGCCTATACCTACTGTCAATAAAGTATGAATGACTCTGCAAGCGTAGGCTAGTCTGTTTTCTATTATTGTATTACAACATGAGTAATCCCCATGTTATGTAAACAGTTTGAGGCCACATGTAGCACATGTACTACATACATACGTACTGTATATAGTATGTGTTAAGCTAAGCTGTCAGCATCTGGGATACTTGAACATTTGTTGTCTAAAGATCATCTTCACTTTTCAGAGTCTGTGATATATATACAGTTTGTCTGAGCCAAATGCAGTTGCACCATATGTGAAGTATGACGGGCAATGCATAATCTTAAATTTTCAGAATTACTCTCATCACATACATTAAGCTATATGAAGATGCAATTAAATTTAATGTGTTTAGCTTGAACAGTTGTGTTGCTACCACAGCTTATGGTGCAAGCCCAAAATTCAGCTTAGTTTGCTGAATGTAGAAGGTCACATGAGAAACGAGGAGGTGTATCCTTTTCCCCTCCTGCTGGATTTTTCTGTTTCTGGATATTTTTGGCCTGTTCCAGACACCGGAAACTGGCCTGTCCAACTTAAACATCTCCAGATGACTCTGTCTTTGGCTTTAATGCATACACCCGTCCCTCCTTCTCTTTCTCCGGTCAAATACATATCTCTCTTTATTGGTTGCTTCCTCAGTTTGCTATCACAAGGACCCTGTTGTTTGACCAAAGCAAGGGAGGGAGGGAGTAGGGGACAATGCAGGCAGTGGAGAAATAGGGTAAAACTGACAAAGACAGAAGAGAGGAGCAAAAAAAAATATGCACAAGGAAGATCCTGGACACTTAAACTACAAGAGATTATGAATTATTGTTCCTGTATGGAAAGTATTTGACTACCTCCAGAGAAGATGAATGAGGGGGGTAAGGTTTGCACAATAAGACAGAGGATAAAGGAAGGAAGACAGGAAACAAAGCAGGTAGTGAGTGACCGCACAGCTGTTTGTCCAGTGCTTGTGCCCCTTAACTTCCCTACACATGGTCACCTTTCAAGGACCTACAGAGTGTGTTGC